TTGCAATTTTTGCACTCAAGCTGATCCGCCCGCCGGTTTCACTTTCCTCCCTTTTTGGGTGTGACTGCAATTTGATGTTGTTGTTGCTCCTTTGCATTGGCCAATTGGCCTGTTCCTCTCTCCCGCCTGCGGGTGTGTTTTGGTGGTGTTCGGTTTTTTGGGGCCACACCGCAACTTTGAGCCCTCTTGGTTGCGTGGTCAAAAATGGAGCTCCCTCCGCACCGTGTTCGATGTGGAAAATAGAAGAGGGGGCTCCGAGACATAGATAGTTCCATGTTCAGAACTTTAACAGGGAATGCTGCAGGTCTTTTGAAAAAAAGTTGAGCCCGAAAGTGATCACTGGTTGAAGGATTCAAGACCTGGGGATTGAACACAATTGACCGGTTTTTATCTTGGCCAGGTAGAAACGTTGAAACTCAAGTTGAAATGCATTTTGCCCAATCCAATCCGAATAACACACCTGTTTCTATATTTTCTTTATCTAGTAGCAAGAAACTATAGCTTGGAGGCCATCGCTATGAGGTTGGAGGCCATCGCTACTAGGTTGGAGGCCATTACTTTTAGAAACAAAGAAACAAAGAAAAGGAAGACAGGTCTAAAGTAGTTTGCTATAGCGATGGCCTCCACCCTAGTAGCGATGGCCTATGATGGCCTCCAACCTAGCTTCCCGTTCCTAGTAGCAAGGTGCCTTACTTCTGTGAAGATAGTTTGTGTCAGCGATGGCCGTCTTTGCCGATCGATGGCCCCTAGGTGAAGAAGCCCGTGCAGGGGGTCAGGGCGCCGAAACCCGAGGGCCAGTGAGCTTGCTGCACCAGTGTTCGGTTTCAGAGCTGGATCCCTATCCCAAACATGGTAAAGGCTTGTTTTCGGATGTTTCGGATCTGAGTGGCTTTTCAAGGGGGCACAGTCCAAACAAGCCACCCATGAAGTTCATTAAGATGTTTTTTTGTAAGAAGAGTCTTGTAAATCGAAGTGCCTCTCCCCCAAACAAGACAGTGCGAAACACCTCCCGTGCTTACCAGCGAGACCGGTGCCACAACTCCCCTGGTCACACGTCGCTGGAGGCGCGACGCGGCGGCCTGGGGGGCTTTTTTGCTGGAGCTCGGAGGCTCAGGTCGGCAGTCGACCACATTAGCAGGCGCAAAACATGACCGAGGTGGTGACAAGATGACAAGAAACAACGTGCATTTACGCCATCTACCGCCCCTTGATGGAGATTTCTCCATCTACCCCTAGTCGATGGATACACTATGATGATAAATGTTCCATTTGTTGATCAAACACGATAATGTTTAAAATTGATGATATCATTGGTTTCTTCAGATTGGTATCGGAAGCGCATTGACTCGTGAGTTTATCCATGCCATGCACCCATCCATGTCATGCACCTCATTGCCAACAACCCTTTTGAACATGATGCTGCAGTTTCACTGCCAAATTCGGTTGAAGGACTTCAAGGAAACCTTGCGCACACTTATGAAAATTGGATAAAATTGGAACCTCTAGAAACATAGGCTCGTGAAAGTTAATAGTCGGGGGCATCCATATTCCATCATATTCCCCATGAAACAGGGAGCCAAGGACCAAGGAGCTACAGGTAGTTCCCCAACCCCAACTGCTAGTTTGGGAGCCATTGAGAACGGATGACATTGAATTGCCTTCGCTTTTGTGCGGAGGTTGGCATGGGCGTAGCTGGCAGCCTGGTCAAGCCAGTATCTCGACTGGGGCAGGCCACACGTGCCGATGTTTGGGGACGATGCGACGTTGTCAACAACCAGAGCTAGGAGCCCCAAGCCCCAGTAGCTTCTTGTTCCTAGTAGTAAGGCCAGGAGCCCCTAGTAGCGATGCCCTTTGCTCCTGGTAGCGGAAATGATTGCAATGCACTGTAAGGACACTTGCGCCATGCCACTAGTCACTTATAACTTGTAACATGTTACAGTTAACTTAACATTAATATTGATTGCCAGCACAGATGTGCTCTGAAAACTAGCTTTCGCCGCTTTCGCCCAGGGCTAACTTTTGCCTGGACATGTCTTTGTGGAATTTTGTTGGCTTTTTTTTCTTTTTTTTGGTGCAATCCAACATGTCAAGACCTACTGAAGTGACCACTGACCATGAACTTCCTTTGGCTTCCGACCCTTGCCTTCTCTTCCGCTACCCTAGCACCAGCGCATTCGCTGGTGCTAGGCAATCTCAGATGTGGGTTCTGGGCTTGCGGCCGAAGTCTCGCCGGAGCGGAAGATGGCGGGTAGAGTTGGGTAGAGGGAGACCAGCGGGTAGAGGGGGACGTTTTCCCAGCATAGGGGCAGGTCATGCGCTGCAGAGATCTCAGAGGGGAACAGATATGATTATATTTTATTTATATATACATACCCCTACACGTGGCCTTTTTAGATCACTGACCGGGGCTGGAGAGGTGACATGGGGAAGTACACAGGAAGTGTAAGGATCCCTTTTCCCAAATCAAACAGCTTTGACGGATGGCACACAGGCATCTCCCGAGTCAGAGCTCGCAAGTCCATTCTATCAGCCCATTTTGGCCGCAGGAGGATGCCTTGGTTCTGCGTTGAACGCACTTAATTATTTAATCGATCAATTCATGGATTCGCTGCTGGCGTCTTGGAAAGGACTTTGCACGGGGTGCTTTGAGACGTCGAGGACGAGTGAGGCAGCGGCCTGTGGGGCTGTGCGCGCAGTTCGGATGCCAATCAACTTCTTCCCACCGCATTCTTTTAGCGCAGTTGGTCCACTTGGTCATCTCACTGCACTGTGCTTTGCTGTGTGTTGAGTTCGAAGGAAGTCAGTCTCATCTTGAAACGTTTCATGGGACCTTAGGGGTGGCCTTGGCATAAGAACTGGTGACCTTCAGCTGCATTGGAGAGGAGGAGAGGATTGTCCGGGGTCTCTTTTCTGATGCAAGGAGCCCTTGTTATCAGCAAAAGGTGTTGGCCCCGTGTTCGAGGAGGACCAGGTACAGTTGGTTCACTCTTAGCATAGTTTCAGGAATTCCTGATAGCTTTTTGGTGCCCTGATCAAGTCCAAAACCCTCCTAGTTTGGATACCTTGTGCGGCTCAATCGATTCCAGGCGGCGACATCCCCGCTGTATGTTTGGCCCAGTTGGGCTCTCAGTGTTGCTTTAGGGTTCAGGGTTTAGGGCCTGGGGTTTCTAGTTGTGGGATTCCCAGGAGCTTCGGTTCTGGCTCGTGGCGGCCCAAAACGTGCACCACCTCCATATATAGAATTATAAAAAAATATATATATATATATATTCTGCTTCAAGTAAGTGTGCATAGCATATTGACCACCCTCAGAGATGGACCGAAGCTGGAATAAACATCTCACCTAAGGACACGGCACCTGATCCAGGCGCATCTGACAGCGTTCCCAGCACCACAGGTAAGAAGAATGGTCGCCGGTTGGGGTGCCTCACGGTAAATCCGTGTCACGGGGTATTCTTAAAACACAAGTGCGAAGCATGATGTTGCGTCCATTTGGTTTTGAGGCAAAATCTATACAACTGCGATTAACTCAAGGAGGAGACTTTGAGAATTCCTAGTCGACTGACGACATCTTATTCTCATGAAGTTGGTACCTGTTTGATCAAGAAAGCTCCATTTCCAAGTTGTTTTCCCATGTGTACATTCTGCGCCTGAGGGACCCAGCCAGCCAGCATGCTAGCATCCAAATCGCCGTGCCAGGAAAAGTGGCACCGCACTTTCGCTTATGGTCGAGTTTGGAGGCGTCGTGGTTTGCACGTTTGGAAGGTTCTCGGACAATTAGAAACCTCCCAAAGCCAAATTCCATGGTATATATGAGTATATATACATACACTATTAGTACCAGTACTACTTTATTACTACTATTACGAAAATTATATATATATATTATATGTGTGTGTGGAGTGAATTTGTTCTTTGTTGTCAATCTTTGTCGTGGTTGGATGATGAACGTAGACATTGCTCCCGTTTCGTCGTCGATGCTACGTTCAGACCGTTCCTTCAACCGATGCAGTAGCCTCTATGGTTCTTCTGCAGAACGGGCCGCCTCTACCAAAGTCTCCATACCAGCCCGGTCACAGCGATCCGGGAGATGTGTGGGTTTAGAACTGACTCACTGCTCCGCTGTGTTTGTTTCCATTTCTATATCAATCCCTATTTCTGGTTATGTGCGTCGATGGCGGGCGACTGAACGTAGGCGGAAGTGCTTCATCAACTGGGACATGAGCGTTTGGGCCCCAAACGCCCACCTAGAGTTCTGTGGGTTGTTGTCGAGGGAGGGAGTCCAAACAGTAGAGGATTCTGGCTCTTCTGTTTTTGAATTGGTCATTCCTGGCATATGCAGGTCACGTGTGGGATAGGATGGAGGAGTCCAATAGCATTTTCTGTGCAGGTGAGGAATCCGCTGTGCCCCGGTCTTTATCCATGGTCCATATTCCTTCTCACTGAAAACGGAACTTCTGAGCACTGCCTTAGGATTTTCAACAGATCAACCCAAGATGACTGGTAGGACTCCCAAGTCCTTTTTGCACCGCATTGATCAGTTCAAGGTCTTCAAGGACTGCAAGAAGCCTGGATCCCAGGGTCCCAGCTCGCAGTAAGGTGTTTGGCAAATGCGACCTCCGTCAGGGTGCAGCTCAATTGTAAATTTGAGAGTCTCGACAGAAGAGTCCGGCTCAAAGAAGATGTTCCAAGCTGGAGTTGGTGAACATCCAGATTGAATGTTGTCCCTTTTGGCCCAAACACTGAGACATCATAGGGGAAAGGAGAGCACTTTAGAGCATAAGTTCAGCGTTAAACCACAATGCCAGCCCAAAAAAAGCCGCCAACAAAGAAGGAAGGCCAACCCGGCAAACGTTTGCTGCTTGCACATGGATGTGAAGTCGTTATGATTAGTTATATATAGATGGAACTCAAAGTTGGGGAGTGAGGCTCCTGCAACAAGTCAGCTGTAGAAGGGTGCAAAAAAACAGATAGCCTATTCCGGAAATAACCTTAGATATGTGTTTTCCAGTTCAGCCCTGTCCCTGCCCTCCGGGCTCGCCGTGCCAATGGGATGTCAATGCGAGCTGGTCTCGGCCCGGAAACCCAGACACGAAGCGGCGTCCTCCGAGAAATGATGGTTTCGTTTCTTCTTGGTGGATTTCTATGACAAATGATGCCAAATGGTGTAGATCAAATTGGTGGATCAAATGTTCGGAGGACTCTTCGCACCATCCTTCGCTGCCTTGTGCAGCTTGGCGCCTGATCCTTTGAGAGGGCGCTTCTTTCCGTCGAGGGTTTGTTTGGACGCTGTTTGGGGCGCCGGGCGCCGAGGCTCATCCCATGGCTCCAAGGCTAGCGTTCCTTCATCCGGCGGGGGGAAGGGGCGTTCTTTGCTTGAAAGGAACAAAAGAATCTGGCAAAGCTAGCTGCTAGCTGATTGCAAAGCTGATGGCACTTGGAAGGAATGACGCAGACCAGAGGAAAATAACCAGATTCCAGGAGCTCGATCATGGATTCAGATAGTCTCACCCACTTGCACTATCTTGCACTGCACAGTTTCAGGAATTGCTTCAACATCTTTCGTCAGACAGAAGAGCAACTCCTGGTTGTCACAGACTCGGCAGGCCGATCATGGAGCTCCCGATGTCAGAGAGCTTCAGAGGTTTTCTGGCCAGAGAAAATCATCATCCGTCGTTGGTCATGTTTTGGGGTATAGAATCATGGAAGTGCACAAGCTGCCCGATCCATCTCCAATCATGTCCATCTTTGGGCAACATCACTTCCCAGCCCTATGATAAGACAGAAGCATTCGCTCTCAAATGAGCAGACTAGTCACTAGTCGGTGACATGTTTTCACTCTCCCGCATGTACACGAACCTGGCGGCTGGAACCACAGGACAATAGTTGCTTGTCAGAAGACACAAGACCTACTATAAATCTTCACACCGACCCATCCCTTCCCAGTTCCCATCCCATACCCACCACTACGTTCCCCATCCCACCAAGGTGCTTGGCCGAGGCCCGTGCCCTCCGCGAAACCTTGGCGGCACCGAGGGCCATCCTCCGAGATGCGCGGCAGAGCCTGGAGGCCCCGGTGGATTGCGGGTGGATCGGTGGATTTTCATGGGCGAAAGCATGATGAATGCCAAAGTGGTATCCACCCAATGGATCAGTGGATTGGAATGCCGAAGTATCAATGGATCAGTGGTATGCCGGAGTCATGCTCTTCATCCTGTTGTGCACCAGCCAGGACAAGTCAGCGAGGCTTTTGCAACACGTGGAGGAATGCAGCAGTCGCTGCCCCAGTCAATCTCCGTGCGTCCAGAAACGCGTCGGCCTCCAGGTGTGAAAGGCCAGCCCCGGCAGATTTGATGTTTAATGAGTTCAATGGTTTCCCAACTGGATTCGATCACTCAAAGAATTTGGCCTTGAAGTGATTCTTGCGGTTCGGACAGCAAATGGAGAGCTCCATGCAAAGGACAAAAGGCGATCACTCAACATGCCCGCTGACGGCGTTCGAAGAAGGTTTGTATACCGTCCCTTCGAACGCCCTCCTGAGGTCCGGCTGGGAAGGCCGGGAGATGAGCAGTGCGTATAAGATGAACAGTTTGCAGGTCAAATATGTTTTCCCAGATAGCTGCAGGCTTTTTGGGGCTTCTAACTTCTCAATGGTGTGGCCCTCTGGATCGGCATTTTGGCCGTGCTGGTGATGCCGGTGTTTCGTTGTGCGGGTGCTCTTGCCGTGCTGGTGGTCCAGGGATGATATCATGTCATGCCAGGAATGACAATACATAGGGTCACGGGGATTACATATGTATATACATGTATATACATGTAGGTGTATCATGAGTCAATGAGTTAGTCATGAAAGTAGCATCAGTCGCATCATGTCGTATCCTTGTCTTTCGCATCACCGAAAAAACCTTCGTTCAGGAAATCGCCGACCAGAGCCCAAGCGAGATAGTTGCATGTCCTCCAAGAAGCTGACGAAAATTGACTATAGACATCTATAGACAAAAGTACTCCAACTGAACAGGGTTCCTTCTTGATCTTTGGAGCACAAGTTTCACCATGTGTCACCTGCTAAAATGGTGCTTCAAGCATGAGGGTGCATGCAAAAGATGATGTAAACGACTCAGTCAAAATCAATGGAACCCTGTTGCATGTTGTTCGTGCACAGGCAGAGCTGGCAGAACTCCGGAGGTCTTCCAGACAGGTGACGAAGTGGATGTTGCGCTTCGAGAGTCAAAGGGGTATGGTCCAATGGTATTTGGGACGGGTCATGAATAGGTTGTCTTGGTATATTTTGACATTATCTTGACGCGTCCTTCAAATAACAAGTGGTGATGTGCATCGAAATCAATCAAGGCTGCTAGGACTGTGTGGTAGCAATGGCAAATAGTCCCCAAACCGAGAAGAGTCCACTGCCATGCGACCAACCCAATCCACACCGAATAGGATAGGTTTCACCAGTTGAGGTTATCCTTTTTAAATTGTCATGGTTGTTCTGTAGCTGTTGGATTGTTTAGTCCCCTCTTCGGCATTGGCTTCGCCATGCAGGAACGTGCAGAGCTGCAGGCCGCCATAGGGGCAGCTGCTGGTGGTCTTCCATTGGAGGACTCAGATGTTCCGGAGTTTTTTGGAGGTTTGCCGATCTGCGGATTCCACTATAAACGAAAGACACCTCCTAAAAGCAAGCCCAGGAGGTCCTAGGAGCATGAGGCCACATGCTTCACCATGTTCATTGTCCTGGCCAGGCCGGCCAGAACACCCTACAGACATCTCCTGGGTGAAACAAGACCAGCACCCCAGGAGGATCGCTGCTACGAATGGCTTCGGATGCTGAAAGAAGATAAGCCGGCGAAGGCTGCGCTCCTTGCTGCAGAGGTGGGCTGCACAGGGTCGGCTGTTGAAGAGCTTTGTTGAACTGATATGTGTTGCAAGGATAGCGGGTGGGGCAACCCAATGTACTGGACATCAACCTACTTACTGTAGGTAGAATTCAGTCGTGGCAGCTGTGACAGCCCCCGTTCCGTGCATGGTTGGTCGGCAATCGCCTCAGGCTGCTTCACCTGAAGCCACCGCCGAGTTAGTTATATATACTGTTATAGTTATATACTGTATTTTTCGGATTCTAGATAAGACCTGCAGCTAAACATGCAGGGCCCTCAAGATTTGGAGGACGTGGATGGATTGAGAGGGATTGTTCATGATTCATGACCCCTTGTAAATGCGGCTGTTTGGTCCAGTCGACGTATTGAGACTCCAAAGTCTTTTTTCTGAGTTGTGTCTATTTGCTGGAGTCCTTTTGGTGACGCTATTTGTTTATATTGAGCCTCTCCTGGTGCTGTGGGCGCTCTGGTAGAGAAAACAGAAACGACTCGCCTCTTTGACCAAAGGGGTCCTAAAACACTCCATGCTGTTTGCAGGCGGAGTGCGACTACTGGGAGGATCAGCTGCACGAACACCTCCTCATGGCCCTCCGCTGGAAGCCACCACGAGAGGGCTTGGAACGCCTCGATGCAGAGCTTCAGGCGCTGTGCTCCACCGACGGTCCTGCGGGGAACTCCGATCCTTCTCGAGCCTTCAAGGCGGAACTCTGATCGTTTCAACAGGTTGGAGTGGAAGATGGAGGCAGTGAGGTTGGACAGGCTTGACAGGCACTGGCAAGGCAGTTGCACTAAAGCACTCCTGGATTGCTCAGGACCTCACCCTGGAGGAGCGAATGCGGACTGCTAGTGTCTTGTTGGGCATTGGCGGGGTGATGCTTCTGATTCTGAGATCACATCCTGTTTGCACAGATTCGGCGTTCGCCAATTAAGTCCCGCCACGTAATTAATCACCTGCCACATGCGGTTCCCAAGAGTTCCACTTTGGGCAGGGCAGCCCCGAGTTTTCACCCGCTTTCACCGGAACCCCGTTTGCGCGGGTCCCGGAATCGAGGCTGTGCCAAATGCTTCGAAGCCTTAGCACGAGATTATCCACAACAACCCTTCAGCAGCTCGGCTTGAGCTGGAGAAGAAAACCGAGCAGACGGACTCCTCAGAATCAAAACTTTCCAGCAGTTGTTGGTTGCTGGGTGCATGTCATGGCCTAAACTTTTCCAGTGTAGCTGTGTCGTCACAGGTGATGGTTCTAGATTTTTGGTGGGCATCCAGGTGACATAGTGACATAGTGGGGTTTGCTGATTGGCACCTCGAGTTTGGGTGCCACCAGAAGCCTCCCACCCAAGAGAGGACATAGATGGCAAGGGTCTACCAACTCGACTCATCTCGACTCCTCGGCCCGACGTCGTAGGTCAACCGGTCTTGGTCTACGTCAGGTGAGCTCCAAGAAGCTTACGCCATGCTGGAAGACTTCCGTCAGAGCAACGACCTCTTGGCGGCCACGCAAGCAGCGGCGCAGTGGAAAGAGCACAGTATCCAGGAGCGGCCACACAGTATTCTCATGAGTTTGGCTGTGTTTTTCCTCAGTTGAACATGGAAGTGGACATGTCTCATTGCTCAAGAAGAGCTTGAGGACACAGACACACATATATTTTTGGGGCAACCGTTGTGTGAAATGGTGAGTGTGTCCAACATCAGGGGTCCAATCACCAGCGCGGGGGACGGTGGTGGCTTTCCTGTCGACTGATCGTTGCAGTAAGGAATCATAAGTCTATCAGAATGAGAAAGGTACGGCGCTTGCGAAGACCATCGAAAGCTCATCATTCTCGCTAGCTCTTTTCACCTTTGGCATGGATCCACCGAACAACACGGGCACAAACCGCACCCCAATTTGGCTCGGCAAGAGCAAGGACTGACTGCCACTACTTGGAGCAGAAATGCTTGACGGATGAAGATTCAGATCTATTTATATAATGGATTTCATATGAGTTAATCTGAGTTGATTCACGGCAGGTAGCCACAGGCCTATCGCCATAGAGAGGAGGGAGAGCGAGACAGAGAGAGAGAGAGAGAGAGAGCGAGAGAGAGAGACAGAGAGAGAGAGAGAGACAGAGAGATTGCCTCTCAAAGCGGGGCAGGTTTGTTAGGTATTAGAGCCATGGGCCATAATGTCGGTCAGCCAAGGAAATGTTTGTTGCCATGGCAGGATGGAAAAGTGAAGCCCAGGAGAAGCCCAGACAGGAGTATTGCTCCGAAGGTCCCGACTTCAGTGGTGGTGATTGCTCCACCAAGGTGTTTTTCCTCTTTTTAGTAAAGATGAAATGTTTTACAGAGTAGGAGGTGTCTTGCCGTGCTGACCGTAGATGTTTAATGTGTTTTTTAGATTTTAAAACAAAAACACAAAGCATCACATCTACCTACTACTGTTTCTAATACAGATACACTATCAAGTAAGTTAACCAGGAAAGAGCGACATCCTCACTGATGGCACTTGAGACAGGCTTCTTCGGTTTTCTACTTGCACTCGTGGCGCAGGTCGATGAAAGCTACCTGCCTCCAGGGCCCCGTTTCTTCTCTGTGGCTCAGCTCCTTCAACCACCTCAGGACCTTTGGCTAAGCCTAGCGCAGTCGAAGCCTGTTTGGGCACGTGACACGTGACTAGTGAAGCGGCGGCACCACTGTCGCCTGCAGGACCCCGTGGAGCCAGCCCTGCGAATGCCCAAGGCAGTGGTGTCCAGAAGCGAGTGGTGCCTTGGTGAATGGAATGGGTGGGTCAAATCCCAGAGCGATTGGCAGGAAATTAAAACATGGACAAAACTTGTGACAAAACACCATGTGTGCGTGTGTGTCGAAAAGTTGCAGATTCTTTGTTGGGCACTGGTGTTTACCAGCTTGCCCTTGGCACCCTGCACAACTGAGGTTTGCACCCAGCACTCCGCAGGTGCGGTTGCTGGATGTTGCTGGTGGGCGTTATAGTAATTCCGGGTGGGACAAATAGGAAGTGTCCAAAAAACAGTTGGGGGGGGGTAGCTTAGCCGCTTAGCCGCTTAGCCTTCAGGAACCTTCAACCATGTAACGATGGGTGGACACAGGTGGACACTCCACTTGGCTCCCTAGAGCCGGCCGTTTTCGATACAGGTGCAGCCTTCGGGCGTCTCCTTCCTGTCGGGCCTGCCGCTGGTCGCAAAGAGCGCAAAGAGTTGGGGCGTCCTTCGTCGCTTTCGCCTGGAAACGTCTAAGAGCTTTGATCAGTTTGGGTGCAAAAAGGACGCAAGCAAGGAAACGTCAACAGTAGGCACTGTTTCTTTACGTTCACCATCTGTTTCCCAATTCATCAAGTTGAGTATAGTTGAATCAAGATGTTGCCGGAGTGTTGAGGATTCCTAACCCTGGCCACTGGGGTTGCTGTATTTCACCAAGAAAAAGTGATCAACATGTGCCATGTATTCCACCAGCTGAGAGATCTAAGAATGCATAAGAATGCTGGTGGCCACCGGTAGCCATTTTGGGATTTGGGCCCTTCGAACGGTGAGAACCAATGGCCGGTGCAGTCCCAGGACCACGCGGCGGATTCAGCCGAGCGAGACGGGCTCCTTGAGCTGGGGCCGGCCCTACTTTGAGCCCACCATGTTCTCCTCAGGACGGAAAGGTGACGCAGTGAGTGTAGTGAGTGTAGTGACTGGAATGTGTGTGCGAATGCGCATCTAAAGAGACCAGTGTGTTCATGTGGCAGAGAAAGTAGAAGTTGTTTGGAGATGTTTTGATGCTTGGTCTAACTATGTGTGTCGATGGGCCGGTTGAGATAGTTGGTCAAGACAAATTTCAGAAAGTTGGACGATGAGGACGGCCGAAGTAGGAGTCCGAACTAAGGCAATCCCAATGCTTTGACGGTATGTGCAGGTGTGCATGCAAGACCAAGTGTCCAATATCTATGCACGCAAAACAGAATGCAAAGATGTTTAAGTATGAACCATGTTTGATTCTGTTTGAGTCCAAAGTTCAGAGCATTCCGGCCGAACTTGCCACTGCACAAGCAGTGGCAGGAGATGGCTTTGATCCATTTGCTTCTTTCACTTCAAAAGCGCCCACAAGCGCCGATGTCCTCAGACACTTGAATGCAAGTCGCAACTGGCGCCCTAGTTTCTCCGTAAGCACCTAGTCGACATGCAAATGTCGATGATGATTCTCGCTGTCTACATCAAAGCTCCCTAGAGTAGAAGCTCCCATACCAATCTCGCATTCATGCGTAGCAGTTCCTAATCACGAAAGGTAGCTTGAGCTACCTGAGTTCTCCTTGCTTTAGCAAAAATGTATTACAATCAGGAGTTGGGATTGTGCATTGAGTTTGGTCCTGTAAGAAATGATTCTGTTCGTCGGGGGGGGGGGGCGCCCCCCCCTGGATCAAATCCCCCCTGCGCCGGTTCACGCCGTCATGGACTTCTACCAGGGTTACTTGTGATTGCTTGCTACCTTTCGTTCACCCCCTCCTCTCTTCTTCGTGTCCTTCCTCTACAGCCGTTTCAGACCTTCCTGGGTTGCTCTAGACGATGGTCACACTAAACTTAACCAAATCCATCAAACAGTCTATACTCAAGCAGCACGCTTGACTGCTTTTCTTCCAGCTTTTGCAAAGACAGAGACCCTGAAAGTCTTATTCAAGCGATGGGACGGTCTCGTCAACAACCCATGGGCTGCAACAGGTTCCGTTCCCAAAACTGACCTAGGAACTGGCTGGTGCCATGAAATCACATGCCCTAATGTGTAGATGGGAGGAAAAATACTCAACCACCAACCTTTTTTGATTTTAGACTTTGGATCAGGTCCTAAGATACTTTCAGACTTACAAAACGACTGTCCCTTGAATTGAACTACACCCCCGGCTTCCGGATGGGTTCTGGCTGGCTGCCAGGGCGTCACACCGAGGACGGGCCTTCGAGGAGCCCTTGAGTGAAGCCTTGGGCCGGAGGACGACTTCGACCTCCTCGAAGCGGTCCAAGCGGAAGGCGGGGTTGAGGCTGAGAGGCGGAAAAAAGAGGTTGGATGGGTTGATGGATGGTTGAAATATATGGCCTTAGAAGAGTTCAGAGGGCCATTATGAGAGGCAGTGAGGCTGATGCTCTCATCCGCGCACGCTGGACCTGGCGAGGTCCCTTCTTCCTTGGAAAGGCCTCCGCGGTCAGGGTGGGTCACGCAGCTTGGCCAAGAGAGTCGCACTGCATTTTTTTCGGGCAGTTGCAACAAGATCATCGCCTTTAAAGTGATCGCGATTGCTTACATAAATAGTAAGGCAGGTTAAAATGACAAAGCTTGGAAGGGTGACCCATTCAGTTCTTGAGATGCTTGATCCTTGGGTGTTGCATGCCATCTTTAACATTTCCATAATTTCGGAGATTCATCCCACAAAGCATAGCAAACACCACAGGTAATTTAGAAAAGTATAGGGTCCTTTGATTTCGGTTCTGCCTGTTGTAGCCTACACAGCTCCACGCCGGTGGGTCTATCAAGGTTTGAGGCTCCGACCACGTCGCCACCTTTCAGCGAACGCTTCGCGAGCTTTGTCTTTCGGCTTCGCGAGCGTCGCGATTGGGCGGCGAGTCTGGGTGGTGGTGGGGAGTCCGGCGAAGACTGGACGGGGATGAAGAAGTGTTCGCCATCGAGTTGTTCTCAAACACCTCTTGGGTAATTACTGTATAGTTGTCAAACGTGATCGAAGTGACCGTCAACAGATCCATGACAGGTGTTGAGAAGGAAGTGCTACGCACTATAGTATCTATATATAATTTGAATTAATTGATGTCATATGAGTCATAATCATAGGCACAGGAAGTTTCGTTGGATGGGTATGGATGGCATAATGTTGTGGGCCGTGGGGGCCTTAGGTGAAGGGAGATTTTCCAGACAAAAGAATGGTGTTGTGGGTTGATGTTTTTTTTCTCTTCAGTGTTGCTCCACAAAATTCGGCACACCCAGATCGAAAAGTGCTTGTAACTTCTTGGCTATGTTGGAGAAGGGGCCTTGACAAGAGCCCCTCAAAGACAGGGATGTGAATCACTGTTGGGGCGAAGGCTGGTAGTGATGCGCGTCCAAACCCTCTGTGTATATACTCCTAGCGAGGTACAGTATCACTACAATGTGTTTAATATGAATTCGACAACTGGCAGCAAACTGAACGGACAAAGATGCACAAAACAACTGGTCAGTATGTAGGCTACTCACTGGGCCGAAAGATGATTGAATTGAGTAATGACACGGCTGCAGATGTTCAGCTATACTGCCCCCCTCCCGAAAAGGATTGCATGATCGAATTGAGCACCGAAACCTGATGTGTCACCCCCATACAGGCTGCTGCAGACACAACTGACAAACCCTTGAGGGACAGAGAGACAGAGACAGACAGACAGAGAGAGACAGAGAGAGAGAGAGAGACTCATCGGTTTTCGGCAGACACACAGACGGTTTTTTGTCCGTACAACTCATGGCCATGCTGAGCCAAAACGTTCCAAGTCTCAAGAACATGAAAGCTGGATGAAAGCTCTTGTCAAAGTGAGCCCGAATTGTTGAGGCACATCAGGTGGCGGCTGCTCCAGATCCACCATGGGAGAACTCAGACGAGCCTGCGCAGTGGGAATCCTGGCGGTCAGAGCAAATTTGTCAGAGATGCCCTCCAAGACGCTGTAAAGCCGACCGAGCCACGTTGGTGTGGCTCAGAAATGGTTCGAAAAGCAACGTGGTAATTGAGGGGAATAGGATTTAACATGTTTGGTTTGTGTTTCGTATCGTTTCTTGGCCAACATCCCTTACCACTTCAAGCTTCATGGAAAGCTGGCACACCGTGACATGCCTCAAAAGAAACAGTAACATCTTGGCCCGCAACCGGAAACATTTGCTCCGGTTGCATAATTTGTGTTGCTATATACTACCGTCCAGTGACTAAGGACTTGTGGAACATCATGCTGATTTTTACAAATCCCTTCTCATATGCTCGGGGCTGTTTGAAACATGTTTCACAAGTCCTAGCTCACGTTGCACAACCCTGCAAACATGGAAGTGACATGAGCATCAATGCAAACTTATGAAGTCTTACAAAGCTAGGAGTTGAGGAGTTTGCATGCTAGAAGTGAAGTATGTGAGCAGGCCAGATGAAAACGGGGTTGGTGAAACACAATGCCGATGATGAAGCAATGATGGTGAAATTCATGTTTGCTGTGTCAATCTGTTTCCTATTATGTATGGTGCTCATGGAGTAGCGCAAGTCCTTTCTCATGTCTCCTGCACCTGGTAAAGCTTGAACATAGGAAAATAAGACTTGACCCAGGCAATTCCCAACTCATGAGAAGCACAAATCCTTACTCATCAGACACTAGTATACTGTAGGCGTTTGCCTTTGCACCAATGCCTTGTCTAATCTCCCTATGTTTGTGGTGCGTACATTCTTTGCATCGCATTGAACAAGCAACAATGGACTCGCATATGTTTGCGTGGCCGCCTTTCCCCAAAAATTATTGTCGCCTTACTCGGCACGTAGACTCATTAATCTTAGAAGGGTGAACTTCGGCAAACTTATATATGCATTTGCAGTCTTCTACTGTACGATCTCCACTTGGGTGGGGTGGAGTTCAAAGCATGCACTTAATTTAAGTGGGAACCAGAAGCACTCTAAGAATCTCCAAGACCTGCTTAATTACATGATTTTGCAGACCCTAGCTTTCAGGAAGTGGCGTGGCCTGACACTGAAGCTCAGAGTGGTGATCTCGACTTCGGCTGGAGCAGCTGGGAGCAGCGACAGCAGTCGGAATCCATCCAGCTCAGTGACTAGTGGCTAGAGTCCACAGCAGAGCTTTGAGTGGAGGTCAAGCTCCCCCAAGCTGGGTTTTCGCCTGTTGTGCCTGGGCAATGCAAAGCACTGCTCCAAGAAATTCGGATTTGCACAGGGTTCATGTCTGAGCTTAGAACTCAGCAAGGCTCCGGTGAATTTGTGACCTTCCCAGCAGTCCGATCAAGATCGCTGTTCTGTTTGCCTCCTTGGAGTCTTGCCGAGAGGTCCGGGAGTGGTGGTTTTCCACGGCCGACGCAAAAAGCATATACGGCAGGTTGACGGCCACTGCACTGGGTCGTGGCTTGGACGATGTTTGTTTCATCCTCCCGATGTGGAACGATGAACTCAAACGGTCTTCTTTGTGGGGGTTGGCGGGATGGTTTGATTCAGGCCCCGCACGTTGCTCACCCGGTGGAAAGCTTCCGGTTGGATTGTTTCACTTTCCTATTCACGGTCCTATATGATTATATATAATATAGAATATGCACAGTACACTACACACATGATTTGTTTTGGGGTGCTTTTGTAGAACGCTCTTGATGGGCAATGGTTCTTTGTGCAATCCATATGTCCTGCCATAATTGTTCGTCATGGATGCTTTGAATTTGTTGCATACTGATGAACTTTCAGCAAACCAAAGCTGTTATTTGTCATGCTGCCTTAGTGCCAAACTCAAATCTGCCAAAATCCTGGAAGCAAATACCAGCATGTCCAACTTCTCGTTGCGTACCAGGTTGTACCTTTGGAGCAGCAGAACAGCAAGGCAGGAATACGTACACAAGCCGTACGGGTGGGTAAATGTATCCAAGATTATCCAAGGTTACGGTTACGCGTCGTATTTGCCAGCAGCACCATGGCGTGGAAATACTTGCAAATTCGGCAGACACTCCAGAAGACAAACCGCTCTGAACCGAGAACATCCGGGGGTCTATTTCGCATAGAGCTATTTGCATCTATTTGCTGTTTTCTGATCGGCCATAAGGGTCGTGTACAGTTTCGATTTCTTGTGGAAAGAAACTGGAGGAGCTTCCTTGTTGAGGCCTAGCTGCTAGGTCTGCTATAGCTGCTGGGTCTGCGTTCGGTGACTGCTAGCCATACCGGTGGGGCTTTGAGGCTCTCGGGTCCCGGATCATCCCATGAGGCAGTGCTGCTGCTCTTTTCCACGTCGGAGCCTGACTGTCGGTTCGGTTGGAAGACTGGACGGTTGGAGAAACGGGAACGGAGGGACGGAGGGACGTGGCTTCTACGCTTTTTGGGGGGAGCCCCCCAGCATTGTTTAGAAGTGACACACAGGCTATAGTACAACCTCCGCATGTCTTAGATTCACTAAGTGAATCAAGTTCCCTTCCGATGTTGATCTCCAACCCCATGCGAATCCAGGAGTTTTATGCATTCGCTGTTTCAAGGCATTGCTTAGTGGCTGAGATCGACCTGGAGGTAGGCCAAGTCGTTGTTCGCTTCATTCGAAGGGATTGGCACAACGAGCTCGGGGATCAGAAGAGATTGCTGATTCCACCGCCTTTGGATGACAACCACATGGCCATACACTCTGTAAGGTCAAAGTCCGATGTGCAACAGGGCCTGAAGGGATCGGGTTGCGTGTTTTTGGCAGTTCTATCCCATCCACACCCTTTCAAAGATCCAACAAAAACCATGGCGCGAACCAAACCCGCTTTGCAGAGGAAAATTGCCTTTTAGCGCTTCCATGATGGTTGGAGGGAAGGAAGGGCCTCCCGTGGGACGTGCCTGCGATTGTTTTTTCCAATACTTTTGCTTTGCAGGCGCAGCAAGCCTCTCGATGGCCGCAGCTCAGTTGCACAACCTGTGAGGATCAGCCACAGAGAAATGGTCCTGGCCAAAACTCTATTTTTTGTGTGTGATCAATTTGCACAATTCCCTCACAGGGATCGAACCATGTTTACCCATGCGTTTGACATGGAGAGAGAGACATGGAAGTCTTGGAACACCGATCCGGTGGTGCCTGAGGAATCTCCGGTTCTACAAGTTGACAGATCTGGCAGCAGAGAACTCGGAGCGGCTGAGTCAAGAAGAGAATCTGGTCCCTGAAGCATCGAGGAGCTCTTCGATGTTGGGAAAAATACTCAAATCCAAGCACAGGGACTGACTCAGAAGTGATCCATTTTTGTTGCATCTTCCCTGGGAGAACTGTGAAGTCCTTCTCGTTTTGCTCGTCCCAGCGGACCTTGGTATGTGTGTGGAAGAAACGCCCGCGCTGTGTGTGGTTGGACTCAGTTCGAGGTTTCTTTTGAAGGCGACAATCTGAATGTGGTGGCCAGTGTCTCAGAGCCTACTGACAATGACATTGACAGCCGCGGCCGTTCCATGCCGTTCCTCATCCGAACTGCATGAGGGCTCGCCTTGTGCTTGGCTCCGGCCAGGGGACGGATGGAAGCAAGCTTGTGCGGGCACCCAGCTCAAAACAGGCTACTACCTTTCCGAGGCTTGCAGCGCCAGACCCGGAGAGCATCCACTTGTTGTTTGTTCTTCAGTGTGTGATCCACGACCGCTAAAAAAACACGTGGATGAAGGAAGCTTGGATGCGGCAGACCTGCTCTTCAAGAAATTAGCTCGCATTCCATCGATCAACGATATGTTTCTCAGTGTCCTTTTACTTCTTTCGATCCAGCATGTCGTGGAAACTCTCGATGGGTTTGACATGATCAGCAAGTCAATGAAAATCAAAGAGCGCTGGGTATCAAATGGTATGACTCTCTACTGTAATTGAAACCTTTGTTTTCTGACTTCATCCCGGCACAGGCCCTGCCTTTGAGTGCCACCTTCGACGAGGTCAGTGGTCACCAATTTTCAAGTGGTAGCGCCGGTGATTTTCAAAGAGAAGAGGAAGTTATCAAACTTCACCTCCCAACCATTATGGAACCTTGTAAAGAATCATCTCGAACTATATGCAGTGGGTGATTTGTCGGTCTTTTTGTTCAAGGCTGTAGCAGTCACAGTTTTCCGCGCATGGGGTTTCAGCAGTGATTTCAGCCTGCAGGCGTGCAGACATCAACTACTCATGGGTTTTGACCAATCGCAACGACACGGGACCGTGATGGGCCGCGAGTCTTGTGTTTTGAGATGTGTTTCTTGCGAAGCTTTTGGAGTTAGAGTTACGGAGTGTTTTGCTTCACATGGGACGCAAGTACAAGTAGCGGGCATTCCGATTTGATGGCAACCCACGTAGTTGCCGGCGATCTGATCGCCGGATTGCCATCAAAAGAATTGAACAATTGGGATTCTCTTGCCGAAGGTTGAAAGGAGATGTGAGAAACAATGTGGGAAGATTGAACACCGTGTGGTGCAAAGACCGCCTCTCAAGGTTTAAACCAGACACATGCACCTAATTTAATACTGTACATCCCAATACACTGGCCCATACGCCTTTTCTTCTTGCTTTGCTGCTTCAATTCGCAAAAAAGCTCCAAGAAAGCTCCGTATGACAGCACTTGTTTGCAGGAGTGCCTGTTGGTCTGCGCTGTCACTTTTGATGATTGAAACCAAGCGACGGCAGAGGCGCCGTGGTGTTTGGCCAATGCCATAATTTGCAGCTGCGACTCAATGACTCTGATGTCATGTGACTGAACACGTCGGGGCGCTCCCCCAAACTTCTATGATTTCTATGTAAAAAACACGCGAAGAACTAAGAAGATCCTTCAACCACTCACAGCATTCTAAGGTCTTGCAAAAGGACCAGTTGCTTATCACGAAAGGTAGCCCTTTAGGGGATACCTTGAGTTTGTTTTGCGAAGCAAGTGTTGGCGCGTCCGGGTCTAATAATTGATCATTCAATTCAACCCCCCCCCCCCCAATTTATTTTCTAAAAACAGCCCCCCCCCCACCTCTAAATTCAATTCTCTCCTGGAGAACGTCTTCGTGAGCCTCTCATGATTTCAGGATAGTTGCAAGTTGAAGCCCTCTTGAACATTCAGAAAGAGTGCATATGAAATTCTAATTACGAAAGGTGTTCCCCGAGGAGATACATACCTAGAGTTTGTTTTGTGAAGCACGTCACTTCTCTCCTGGGAACGTCTTCGTGAGCCTCTTGTGGTTTCAGGATAGTTCAAATCCTATGATGCTCCGATTCAATGCTCACCGATGATCTGAGCCATGGGGCAAGTTTGTTTTCCTAAGAATCTTTTTTGAACATTTCGAGAGCATATGTTTGAACATTTAGAGTGCATATGAACATATATTTACGAAAGGTCGCCTCCGAGGGGATAAATCACCATGTCGAACATTGCATTTTTGTTCCTGCCTCTCGCGTTCTCCTCTTCTCTTCCCGCTGTCCTACCTTTCGTGTCTCCCCCCTCTCAAGTACATAGATTGTTCCCCTATCCCACCCGAGTGTTGGTTTAATATTCCAGGATATATATTTACTGTATATGTAATATAGTGGTTGCAAATGTGCAAACTCCAAGTTGTTTACAGAATCAAGCATGGATGGTTCTTCCATATTTGCTGGGCAGGGGTCGGACTTGAAAGGAAACAATGAAGCAGCTAGTGGTGAATGTCACCGGAAGCCTTGTGGAGGCTCAAGAGTGGTGACATAGACTATTGATGATGATGATGATGATGATGATGATGATGATGATGATGATGATGATGATGATGGTGATGGTGATGGTGATGGTGATGGTGATGGTGATGGTGATGGTGATGGTGATGATGATGATCAGAAGCTGTGTTGCCAAGAACCTCATGGGGATTTTGAATTTCTATGAATTTCAGATCTGAAGATTGGGAAGTTGATGTCGAATTTGCTTTGAGGGGGCAAGAGTGAATGTATAGGTGCTACTCATAGCAGCAAGTATGTGAAACTCTACCTGGGTCACGGTCCACCTCCGTTTTAAAGCCTTCCAGGAGAGACAAGGTCCTACAGATTGCGGAGGCGGAGAGGGGTCACATGAAGAGTGGTTGGTGCGCTCCAGAGCCCCTATGTTGACGGCATAAACACCTTCGTGAACAAAGCGCTTTTGAGGCTCAAGTGCTGAGAGACAAGATGACACAAGCAAGATTGTCATGGTAACATAGTATCACTGGGATACACCAAGTTGACTCCCAAAAGTGAAAGTAGATTACATTCATTGGCTGTTCTGCCATGAGAGAACCGCTTCGGGAGCCATTCCTGGATTTGCGGCTCAAGATGGAAGCAGCATGGACCCAAATAAGGATGTTTCGTGCGGTTTAGAGCTGTTGGAGATGTCCATCCGAGCAGTTGTGAAGATGCAAGATCACATTGGGAAACACATGTTCATAGCATCTTCCGACCTGAGGACCGGCATTAATATGCGACACTCCATGGGGCGGAACATATTTACCTACATTGACCCCTGAAACCACCCCAATGTAGGCTGGCAGCCCCATGGAGTGTTTGGGATGTATGGGTTTCGTTGGCCCGTTGAGGCCTCGTCCAGCGAGAGCCCGAGCCCTCCCCCTCCAAACCCTTTGTCCAAACTGCGCCGGAACTACAGCGAGCCCGCAAAGCTGGAGAACCTGTGGCTTGGGCGGCCTGAACAAGAGGGGCAGTTGACAGCTTGCTTGGGAGTTGGCCGCGATTTAATATGGATAGATATGGCATGATATGGCAGAGATGGCCCTGGTAATTGAACAATAGGCGGCTTGGTGGTGCATAATAAGAAGAACCATGAAGAACCTGTTGGGTAAAGACGTGGACACGGAACTCAATGCCCTGACCCAAGCTCCCCATCTTCCCCAGGACTCGTTTGCCCATTTTTGCTTATCGTCACCCCTCGTGGGGCCCTCGATCTTCGCCTGCCGGGCCCTCCGTTGGCCGAACCAGGTGGGATGGAATCCGCAGACTCGACTCTGAGATCGAGAGCGTCTTCAGCAGATTGGATATGGAATGAAATGGATCACTGTGGGGGCCATTTCTTCTTGGAGCGTGTGCCCCATCAGAGAGTGCACACTGTACTCGTACCGACATGTACCGACTGTATTTACATGTATTTACCATGGGAGCAGGGTCTTGGGCAGGTTTCTCACGCAAAAATTTGCATCCAAGGTGCAATGGGTTGTGCAGGCGCATACATTCAACCTAAAATTTGAAATATACTATTATATAGTCTATTATATATATATATGTGTGTGTATGTAATTATATTATGCATATATGCACATACATCACACTTCAACACTCAAATGGTCGGGGAGCCTGGAGGGGGGCCAAAGTATGTCGAAAGAATGTATGTTTTATGTATCTATGAATAAGCCTTGAACACAAAGATTCACCCGCGCAAAAAGCAAACGTTCAACCACGTTCGTGAGCACAAAGCAAGTAGTCTAAGGAGATTGGTACACCCTTTTTCGTTGAGGGTTCTGTTCTTATTCTTGCTTTGGCGTGCCTTCGGTTTCAAACATCCAGGCAGTATTCGCTCCCAAAGCGATGATGACATTGAAGAGGAGCTGGCAAAAGTCAATGCATATGCGACAGAGCTGGCCTCAGCTGTGGTCATGTGTCATAGCTCCGAGGGGCACTACCAAGTGCACAGAGGGATCAATCCAAGGGCATAGATGTGTTTCAGAAGATATGGAGAGGAAGTTGCTACACGAAGATAGATGCCGGGTAGTCCAACAATGGGTTGGGGATTCAGATGAGCTGTAGCTCTTTGAAGGGTCTGACGGGGTCTGACGCGCACGCTAATACGCTATGTGGGAGGCTGATAATTGGGGTTTGGTTCAGCTACTCCGCATCTATGGACCTCTCCCCAAATGGATCGCCACCGAGGCGGGTCCTTGCCGCCGAGCCTTCCCAGAACGTTTCTTGGCTCTCTTGGTGACCTTGGCAGTGGCAGCTTGGCTCAGGTGGTCATCCTCAAGACTCCTCAAGAAGATAGAAGATGGGACATGTCAACATGTCTTTGTATTAAAAAACTGTTGTATTGAATAAATACCAAAAAAAAAAAAAAAAACTTGTTTTGTTCTATGAATGCTCCAGGACTCGAGGAGCTTGGATGATTCTCCCCGGACATGTTCTGGATCTCAGACTAGTTTTTGGGAAATGAGCCCCTTCCACAATGCAAGCCGGCCAATCGCCTACACCACTTCGCCCTACCAAGTACCGAGGCTTTACTGAGGATTCCCTACTGTTCCCCGCGTCCCAAGGCAGGCTCACTTATTGAGCCAGATGAACACAAATGGTGTGTTTCTTTAACATGAATACAACGTGGAGCTTGTAGAACCCTGGGTGCTGAGCTTCAAACGTCCCCCGCGGTCTGAGGAAGTGCCGGTGGCCTTAATCATCACTGGCGGCTCCAAGGATGGAGGGTATGGCTGACGGACCAGATGAAAGCTGAGTTATGGGACGGACGGGCTGTAGGCGGATCTTCTAACCGGAATTCTGTACAGAAAACAGCGTCCAAATGTAAACCAAGCATGGCCGGTAAGAAAAGGCATGACGCCAGAAAGAGACGCCGGTCAACGCATTCATGGCTTTCAAGACACTTTGTTCCTGTCCTGTGGTCTTTGCACTCTCTTGGGCAGATGAAGCCAATGCCATGATTTAGGCTATGCAGAACCTTTCACCTACACTCAGTATATAAGTCACATGAGACAAGAACGCCAAACAGAAATCATCGGACCGGCAGAAGCATTGAAGGATATTCTGTGAATAACAAAGGCCCAACCCTTCCTGCTTCAGAATCTCCAATTCCCACCATGGAGGGCGAAGCGTTTGAGCGGGAAGCGGGGCCCATGATGCTCTTTGGAGAGGATTACTACTGTGAAAACTTGGCGAATGATCCAGATGTGGAGGAGTTCGCAGAATTGGCAGGTGAAAGTTTGAGCACCTCTGTGGTCGTCACGCTCCTGCCCTGGAGGGGGCAGATCCCCAAAGGAGTGCTGGCGCCTGAACTGGAGAGTTCAGATTTCCTGCTACCAGAAGCGGAGATCGCCAAGGCGGTGAGCCAAGTGAACACTGTGGTGATCCCCTGCACGCTGGAAATGGAGGAAGAGCATGAACAAGCTAAGAGGATCATCCCGCAGTTCGCAAGATGTGAAAACCTTTGCATCATTGCCGTGCTTTTGTTGCCCAAGGAGATGACGCAGCTCAACATGGAGACAAACCAAGTGGTGCTACGAAGGCACGGTCAATTGCTCCAGGCAGGAGTTGATGATGTGCTTTTTGAGCCAGAATGGGACTTGGTGTCCTTGAAGAGGGCGATCCATTTATCACGTTCGATGTGGGAGGTGAATGTGCTCCGGACTCGCTTGATGCTGAATGCCGAGATCGACTATGACGTCGCCGAGGAGGCTTCGAGATGTCAAGAGGAGCATGCGGAGCTCTTCTTTCAGCAGATTCCTGAGGCGTTGATGCCCGAGTTCCGACCGGTGGATCGTCAGATCATTGAGACCGGCAATTCGATGGGGAACTTCCGGCTGACCTGCCGGTTGCCTTGTAAGAAGGGCACGGTACTGCAGGCCTCAGATGAGGAGCAGCAAGCGGTAGCCATCAAGGTCTTTAACAAGTCACAGGTCATGGACCCGGGGATGTTCCTGACCCTTAAGAATAATATACTGTATGTCATTTTTGTCCACCATAGAAGGGTGAGTTTTCTATTTGAAGGGGCAGATCTATTTGGTAATTAATCCAGGCATTATTATATAGGTATGCTGTGGGTGCTTTTGGGAGTCTAACCTCATCTAACCTCCAAGGCTGTTCGGTCATTTTGCTCCAACTCGCAGCCTAAGGCTTGAGGCCATCTATCGAGAGTATCGCTTCATGGGAGAAGTTGTCAGACATCCTAACATTGCCAAGTGCTTGGAGATGCTTCATAGCAATTCACGTCTCTTTCTGGTCATGGAATTTGCTGGCAGTCGGAATGTCGAGCACATGCTACGGGGCCGAGAGCCACAGCGAATGAATGACTCTGAAGTTAACAACTGTTTTGAGCAAGTGGCTCGTGGGGTTGCTCACTTGCATTCTAAGAACATTGCCCACCGAAACATTTGTTTGCAGCACCTCATTGTTTCCAAGTTGGCCGGCAGTGACCGGGAGCACCTGCGCATCGTGGATTTCCAAAGTGCCATGTTGGTGAAGCCGAACATGACATCCCGAACAATTTGTGGTGAGATGCCTTATATGGCCCCTGAGATGGCACTCGGTGGCCCCTATTGGCCACACAGCAGCGATGCCTGGAGCTGTGGCATCGCACTCTTGGAGATGGCTGGAGGCTTGGGCTCGCTGTGTGAAGCGGTGAAGGTCGATCCAGAGGCAGCAGCAGCCTCCATTGCTCCAATCTTGTTGCAGTTTTTCGATGATCCCGTCAGTCACGCTGAAGCCTTGGCTGGCCTGGACGGTGTGGACACCATTGCTGTGATCGAGCAGTTGGAGCAGCTGTTGGTGCCAAACCGAGCTGAACGGGTGTTGCTCAAGAACCTGTTGCCCGAGAATCAGCCGGGAGCAGAACAAGAACTGCTGCAACATGAGCAACAACGGCTGCTTGAGCAGCAACAGGCACAACAATTGCTGCAAATGATGCAGGGGGGCCAACCGCCTGATTGGGCTGTCCAGGCACCCCCACAACCCCCGATCCCAAACGTTCCAATCCCTCAGCGGTGAATAGATGCCGCCGAGATGGTCACATGTTACTGGCAAAGCCAGAGACAAAGTGTCACCAGTCACCATAGCAACGCAGTTAAGCACAATAGATGTGTCGTTTGAAAAGTCTTTTGCATGTGTGCCTCAGTTGGTGTTCCGTGCCCAAGTGCGGCAGGAAACTGGTAAATCACCAAAAACCTTCAGTATTTACCAGTCACTCCTTCGAGGCTTCATTTGTGCAGTTGATCGTTTTTCTTCTTTTAAAGTTCGTCAAGACTTTGCTGGTCTGAGATGTCCTGAGTGTAAATCCCAAGAAGCCAATCTCCATGCTTAGATCGGAAGGAGCTGAAGTCGCTGGTGGGTTTGGAGCGCTACACTTTGTTGATGGCCTTCCTCCCACTGACCTCAGCCATTTCGGGCAACGTGCTTCGGCAGATCAAATGACCATCGGACCTGGAGAACCCTCCGAGATTGACAGAAGGACCAGACCGTCTTTGACGATCCTTTTCATTCATTCGTGCTCGGATTCAGTTTGAGCATTTCATGCAGGTGTTTGACCTCACCAAGAAATGGATTTTGGATGGTTTCGGTATATTTGTGGGTTACGTAATTATGTACATTACTTTCCCAGTCCACCGGGCTGTGGGGGCCCTAAGGTTCCCCACACAAGCTCAGTCTCAGACATACCGATTTTTGTCAGGTCGGACTGCAAGCCTCTTCTTTAACGACACGAGCAATCTCACATGGGTGCCATCGCAGGGGTTTAGCAGCTTTTTTTCTGCATCTTTTGTGACAGCTGCTTCAGGCCAGCATCGCACCAGAAATCAGCAGTAGGCAGGCAAAGATGTGAGCAAATGGCATATGACTAGGTATTCAGAGCCTTCAGAGAGCCGCGATCTTGTAGATATGCATCCGGACATGGTCATGTTCTGTCATGTTGTTGTAGCTGTATTTTGGGGTGTTTGGCGGCATTGGTAATTGGAGGTAAATGGTACTGGGCATGTGTTGGCATTTGTTTGTCATGCTGGGCTTTGACTGGGTTTGGTGTATTGGTATCGGTGTTCGAGATTGTGGCTTGAATTGTGATGCACTCTCCTTTGGATCCCAACAGGAGCTGTGCAAAAGCAACATATTGCGCTTGGATGTGCGCCTCGGTTTCCACAGCAGGTGGCGAACGAGCAAAGGGCATTCAGTAGTACTGGTACGGTGCATGAAGTAGATGAGGTATGGCAGTTGGATTCATCAATGGGTAGGCTGACATTGAAAGTAAATAATCAGATGTTACAGCTAAGATGTTGCAGCTCTCCTCACATGTTTCCCCCCTTCCAAAGCAACATCAAGACTGAAACCAAGAAGCACCAGCACAACGAGCTTGCTTATCCTTCATGGACTGCAAGTAGCAATGGGTCATATTGCCTGATCGGTTTTACAACAGCATGGAGTCATAGAGGTTTCAGGACTGGACATCAGCTTGGGTCTTGTCCATAATCAAGGTACTGAGATGAGCACGGCTTGCTTGCTGTCCTTGACAACTGGCTTGGCAGTTGGACTGCTTGCAATCGTTTGGACCTGGCAATCCTTCGAGTCGGGTGGTGGACTTAGTGTGGAAGCAACGTTACCAAAGTTGCTCAGCCTTTGTTATGAAATGCAGGAAGCAGGTTGATCAATAAATGTGTGAATACATTTCAACACATGATCATAAATGGGCTTATATAATGAATATGATATACAGCACGTAAATGTCATTGAAACATATTTAAACACGTGTATGCATATATATATATACATAGTTTTGCATGAGGATGCCAGAAAACTATACAAAACAATAAACACCGAACATCTAGCTGCTATGTGGGTAGTGTGATTTTCGGAAGTGTGAGAGATTCTCAACATGTTGCATACACATGTAGATTTTCGTTCATGAGCTGCATGTGTGGTTCAGGTGTTTCCTTCTCTTTTCAACGTCCAAGGTTGATCGGAAGCGCATATCAAAAACCATCTGTGGGTGAGTACCATGGTCCTGTATATTTGGACCGTTTCTATGTTTGATGGTAGGGACACTTGGGGAAAGCCCACACTTGACGCCTTCAGTTGACAAAGTAATCCCACTATATAATCAAACCAAAGGACCCATGTTTGTGAGCAAAATCGGCCCCTGGTTCCTGGTCCCTGCTCCCTGGTCCCTGCCTCGTTAGTCCCGAGGGATTGACGTGGGCTTCTCCCTGACCGTTGCCATTGCTCAAGCCTTCAGCATCATCGTGGCAGGGCTCACCGGGAGTGCCGTCACTGGACGGAGTGAAAGAGCGGTGGGACGTATGCGGCCGATGTGACGTCGGAGGGTGTGACCAGCGGTGCAGGTCAATGGGTATATGGTGGCAGGACCATCCAAATACCAATGGGGGGGGGGGGCGGTTGCAAATTTGATTTCATCGTCGTACAAGGAAGAACCTAGGGCCAGCACCTGCTAGTGCAAAATAGTGCAAACATTTTTGATCCCCGTGACAGCGCACACCAAAGTGACAGATTCACCCACTGCCGCCAGTTGATGCAAGGCACCGCTGGTGTTCTCATTCCTTTTTCATGGTGATGCTGGCAAGTGGGCAGGACCGAGCCTCGTCGTAGTCTTGCCTGGGGATACTATATGTGGCTTCTATGGGCTGCTCTCCAACAAAACTCATGGATGACTAGATTACTGGATTTACACTTCCTTTCCATGTTCTGTTGGCGGAGGAGCAGCCCAATGATTTATGTAGTTCCTGTCATCATCAAGGTGATAGAATGCGGCTCGTTCATTTTGTGCCTCCCTGCATGATGCTTCCACCAGCTTGTGAGGCTTGCGCAGGTGTCGAAACGATTCTGACAAATGTGTTGGACTATTAGACCAACAATCAATCCCCCGTTTCTCCCTTCGAGCTATCGGTAAAGGTTGCTTTCTCCCGCGACTTCCGAGAGTTCACGCACTGCAACCGCTGGCATCGCTGATCTGCAAATCGGCCCATGGGCGACTGCGCCAAGACCTCTGCCTGTTTTCGCTTGCGCTCCTCCCATTGAACCCATGGAAGACACGGTGCAAAGGTCTTTCCCTGCCGGCCAAGGATGGAAACAGCCATCCAAGATGTGGCTGGAGCCTTTGGGGTGGTGACTCGGCGGGAGCAGAAGACACTTTTCAGAAGCGCAAGCCGTGAACAACCCACACGACATTGGGGCAAACACTTGTGGCCACTTCACCCATCGAAGTACTTGCGCATTCGTCAATCAAGAATTGAAAGATTCGATTTGTAAGAGTTATATTCCAACCTAACTTCCCAGTGCGGACTGGCAATCCATCCTGTTTCTCAGGCTTTCAAGTCGAAGCTCGATCCCTTCAAGGGGAACTAGGAAAGTACAGGCTCAATTTCTACCAAGACATGGACATTGTACAGTATCAGTTTCAGTCCCAATTCAGTGTTCAAGCTGGAACAAAACATTGACCACAGGTGAAGGGGCCGGGCAGCCGTTTCGAAACAGCTGTGCCAAACGGCAGCACCAGAACAGGCGTCAGCGGCGTCAGCCGGTGAGCCGTAAATCAACTGCGCCAACTCCGGCCCAGGTCTACATTGCACAATTCATCATGGTGGCTTGTGTGAAGTATGGCCTGTCCCCTTCAACCGGCTCATAAGCCCATGGTGTTGATCAAAGCTGGGGCAGACTGCTTCCTTGAGGCCTTAACGCCTCCCCCCAACTGGGCAACGTGGTTTTGAAAGGCATGACATTAAATGACATTATGTATGATGAATTATGACATATTGTGATGTTAGTACGTAATGTTGTTCAACTACAGCGTGTGTCCAACAGTAATCTGTGAGGACTTGTCATGGCTGTTACATTTCTAGTGGCGAACCACGTCGCCAGCAGCAAAGCTGAGAGGCAAGGGGCACGTGTGAATGTTTTTTGGTAAAGAAGGTCCGATGAACAATTTTGAGGGGAACCATCTCCTTTTAATACATGGAAAGACTCTGCCAGAAGGCTATGGATCCTGTACAGCGTTGCCGTGACTCCGCCACACCAGAAACAGGGAGTGGGTGACACGTCACACAGTTTTTTTGTGGTTTCTTCCCATCCAGGGAGATCCCAGTCAGGCTCTTCTTTGGACTCGACTAGAAGACTTGGGACATGCAACTCTATTCAAGCCCCAAAACCTCCAGAAGGGAAATGCACTTGCTTGGAGTCTGAATCACCGAGCCATTTGACAATGGACTGGTTTGACTTTGTATAGCTTTGGCCATCTCTTTTGTTCTCGGTTTTTGCCCAGATCAGCGCAAGCCAGGATGGAGTCTGCCCAGGGCAAGCAAAATGCCTTTTACATTTCAACTGTCAACATGAGGGTGTAGTTCCAATCTTGGACCAGGCCCTGCCGAGGCCTACAAGACCTGTTAGTTATTTCGGTAGGTGTGCATAAAGTTTGTGTTGCACCGCACGTGATCCGCTCCTAAGAATGCAGTGAGAGCATTAATATATTTATATATAGCTGCACAGTCGAGTGAAAGCAAGTTGATGAATTGCATAGTGCTCACTAAGCCTCAATAATTTTGCTTGCTGCCCTAGAGATCCTAGAGAATCCTCAATCCGAGTTTGCCAAATGATTGCTTTAACATGGTACACCGGCGCACTAAGCTTGCCTCAAGTTGGGGCACTTAGGGCCCGGACTGATGCAGAGGAAAAGCTAATGCGGAGCACCCGAACAGCTTCTGTGTGATCAAGAGACGTAATAGAGAACAGGCCTTAAGATTCCTAGATTCCTTGGAAGGCCTTGAAAAAGACCAGGACCTCCGAGCAAACAGTCGGATGTTGGAAGCCCACAATAGTCCTCCGCTGGTGTAAATATATACATATATATATATGTATGTGTGTGTGAAATATCATTAATTGCTATATCATATCTATCTATCTATCTATCTATATATATATATTCATATATTGATACACAGGGTTTGTCCTATTGCCTGTGCCAGTCTGTCAACAATCACTAACCATCCATGGACGGGCCCTGGTCATGGGATATACCATGACTACTTGAGGGCCATCCCGGGCTACGGGGGAGGCGATCCCAGGATGCGAGGGCTGCGGTCGCCGACGCTTGGCGGTCTTTGAGCTGGAGCGCACGGGATGCCTAGGGTTGGGCGGCCGGAGAAATGCCCCCAATACCGAAGGAAGAAACGCCCGGATGGGGCGGGGGCAGAGAAATCTCAAAAACCTGAAGGGGGCGAGGGATCCTGAGGTCCTGAACATCTCTGAACTGCTGGCGAAATCGATGGTGTTTTGGGGGTTATGTCAGTGCGACACTACGACCAATTGCAGATAGTGTGCAAGTGTATCCTCAGGAGGCTGGAGGTTGCGAGGTACCTTCGACATTGTGTGCACTCCATCCAGGACGAAGGATCATTTATTCAGATGTAACGTTGGCAGTCCAACCTGCTTCTTGGGCCTAGAGTACATGCACCAGCTGTTATCACAATGCAAGTGCTCCTGTAGCTTACTTACCTGTATGGGAAATCCTACATGCTGACCTCTGGCCCCTGCAACCACAACGATGAGGTCGATTGCCGGGTACCTCCGAGTGGACCACTCCATTTCTGCCCACGGTGCCGGGGGTTGGGACAAGGATGGAGCTTCAATCTGGCCTCAAGGTCAAATAGTCAGAGCATAAAAGATTCAGAAAGGTGCATCAATTTGCATGCTGCTCATGATCTTTGCTTTCCTTCAGGCAAGCAACAAATAGAGCCGAGCAGTTGCACGTCCTGCAACTTCCGATTGTTATTGCTGAAGTTGTTTTTTCTTTCACTTCTGAGCCTGGTGCCAGGATGAAGAATTTGGCTGGCGATGGGTGGACATCACTGGGTCCGAATGCCAAGGATAGACACACCTACAGGGGGCTGCAGGTGCGGGCAGTGAGTAGATTGTATTTTTCTTGCAGGGCGTAAGGTGCACCGGCAATGTACAAAATGCATGTTGCAAGTTTGGGAGCTAGAGTCTTACTTCAGAGCTGTTCCAAAATGGTCAGGTTCCCATTCTTTTCCTACCCCCGGAGGCTAATGAGATACACTTGCCACAGGTCCTGAGGGTAGCCCGACCGAGGCGGCGGCATCCATACCTTCCCTTGGGCAGGACACCCAGCTCCTGTCCACCGATCTACACCGGTGCGCACTGGGGCATAGGATGGACATGAATGGACCTCAGCATGAGCAGGAACACTTTTGTTTGACCCCAATGCTGATGTGCTTTGTTCTTTTTGTCTCACATGTTCCACAGCACATTCCGGAAGCCACAAGTTGCCCATCTTCCCTTGAAGTTGCGGATCCAAGGCTTGACACGCGCGGCGGCCCGGAGCAGCAGGGTTGTATGAGTTTCGCCCAAGCCAGTCAGAAAGGAGGTGTATATATCTCAACCGATGGTGTTTCGAAGGTTTTGGGCATGCCACGGAGGCCTCAACCCTAAAGTCAAGTACTTGGTCAGGTTAGGTCGGGCGGTCGAGCCTCTGCTCTTGAGTTCTTCAAGAAGCCCTGAATCCTTCTCCAGGCTCTCAGGCAGCCAGCAGCCGCTTGCCTCCTTGCAGGTGGGACACGTTCCGCCCAGTTGCGGATGAGGATCAGAAGCCTGATGGCAATGATGGACTCGGTCACTGGGTGATTGGGATAGCCACAGTGCGGTGATCTTTGAGGGCTGGGCACATGTGTTGCCACTGGTGCTGGCCGCGCTGGTGGCATGACCAGGCTTGGAAGCTTGTTTCATCCCAGCTCAGATTGGGAAGTGCATCACAGCCGCAGCCTCAGACAGACAGACATTGACATGGCTGGCTTGATTGCTTTAGGTCCTTTAGGTCCTCGGACTCTTTTTATGGCAGCTGCACAGGGAGACATTTCCAGGTCAAACATTGGCAAGCCAGACATGAATGACAAAGTTCCAAGGAAGGTCGATGGGAGTGGGAGTTTTTCTTTGACCCTTCAGCAAGGTCAGGGGAAAGACAGAGATGGCTGGTCCTATGGAATAGCTTGGAACTCCTCTACATGGGACTGACATCGGCCGAGGGTGGTCACGCCGAAATAACTCGAAATGGTTAGGACACTGTTTGCCTGAGGATATCATGCTGAGAACAGTTCAACTGTTGCTCACCGCACGTTCAATAGTTCAATGTGCTAATGGGCATGCTGCTGTTTGGTTTGTTGAAGGTGCTGTGTGCCGTGAGTGATCAAATTGGCATTGTTAGGGCGAGGTTTTGGCTGAGTTTGCACCTGTAATGTGCTGCCCTGTTGCCCTTGCAAACTCAACCAGGATGCATGTTCATGAGAACCCGAGCTCAATGTCCCAGCTGCGTTCCTTTCAATCGCCATGACTCGTGACCCCAAGTATTTTGCCCCTCAAATCCAACAGGTCCAGGATGTGGAATGCTTCTTTCCAATGACATCAAAAAGGTGCACCTCATGGAACATGGAACCACTGGGGCCACCTGAGCACGTTCTTTGTTCCATGTTGCACGTGCCGTAGTTCTTGAAGCAGAGGGATGCTGATCTCTATTGAAGCAGAAAGGACACATAAAGGGAATTGAAGGGAGAACTTTAAGGATTTCTCTTCTGGATTTGCCATGTGACCGCAGGAGTCTGCACCGGGTCCTTTGGATACGTTGCGACGACGATTATGGATAAGGCACTGAGTGTTTGTTGGAATCCCTGGAACGCGCCTACAATCGCTTTGGACCAGGGGACCCGCCTTGCGATTTCCATGTTGAACAGAATGAAGTTGCGTGGCTTGTTCCAAGCAAGAAATGTCAGGCACTTTACTTGAGATTTGGCCGTCAACCAGAGCCTGGGACGCAGGTTTTGGGGGTCCAGTGATGGCCAGGACTTCGAGATGTCGAAGTTTTTAGTGCAAACTGCACATCGAACTGCAAATGACTTTACAAAAGATGCTCGAGGTTCTTCTATAGTCCAATTCGTTTGGTGGGAAGTAGTTTGCATGAGATATTGGATCCTTCACCCTACTACCCAAAGCCAAGACATGCCTAGACCATCCTAGACCCGTGACCATGAAGATGGCCTACAGCCCCCCGCCTGCCCCAACACTGACCCAAAATCAGTGCAACCTCGCCCCAATAGCAAGATTCATATCTTGCCCCGATCTCACAACATAGCCTGTACGTCATTTGGCCGTTTGGTAAGCATGAAGCCAGCCAGCAGCCCACTCAGCGGAGCCCACCTGGTGCTCGATCCGAGAGGGGTCAGCGGTGTTGTTGAGCTGGTCGGCTGGTGTTCCCCCATAGTTAATAGTTGCTTCATGTTACTTCGGTGCCATGCACCTCAGGCTGTACGTGGAATCATGGATCTCCACAATCGAGACGGTGGTGATGAGATCAATGCAGCTCCGCAGCTGCCTTTCACCTTCCACCTACTCGTACTCTACAGACACTCGCTCCACATCAAGCACAGCCTTTTCTGCGATGTCCATTTGATAATTTATTTGACATTCCCTGGTGCTTTGGCTGGCCTATAGCAACGCTGCCTCATGCGAAGACACACACATCTGAGCACTGTCAGCAGTGCAAACTGGAGCAAGGGCGCATACACTCCAGGCTGCAATAAGGAGGCAATGGAGAAGGCCAGTGAGAAGGCCCTATTCACTGCGTCCATGGGGCATTGGATAGAAGAGGCGCTCGGGCTTGCTGTGAACACATCTAGCCAATTGAAAGCTGAGATATTCTTCTAAAGGTTCAAAGGACCCGTGACAGATAGCCCTTCAGGCCTGTGTTTGCCTGAAAAAAAGGAGGGCCGTGTGACACAAAAAAGCAGTCAAGGACAAAGAGAATCATGTATTACCCTTTCAGAAGCTACTAGTAACAAGTGCATCGCTACTAGTAACAAGCGCCTTACTAGTAGTAACAAGAAGCTATTAGTAACAAGTGCATCGCTACTAGTAACAAGTGCCTTACTAGTAGTAACAAGAAGCTATTAGTAACAAATGCATCGCTTCTCTTCCCACCCGAAAGAACCACATGACTTGGAACTCCAATAGGCGAAGGTGAGGGTCGTCAAGGAGGAGAAAAATGCCGGTCGTCGACGAAGGGAGAGAGACTCAGAGGGAGGGACCAACTGCGTAGGCGGTATACAAGGCCACGAGCGAACCTGTTGGATATTCTTGCTTGTGGTTGTTGATGGTGACCATCAATCACAAGGGTATTTGATGGTGCAATTTTAGGTGATTTTCTCTGGGATCCATGTGCCAGATCGTTCGCCGTGCGACGCTCCATGGTCCGTGCACGCACCTTTGAGCTTCAAGCAATCACCATGGAACAAGACATGTTGCCAATCAGCTACAAACTTTAAACCCATGTTCCATGATTCATTTATTTTGCGAATTCGGAAGATGCACAGTGTTTGCACTGACATTGCCCGTGAATATTCCGTCTAAGAATCTACCCGAACAAGGATGGAGATGTTGAGATGTACAGTACGCAAGTTTTGGAGGACAGGTATGGAACAAAGCACTGAACCTGGATCAAGAAGCAGCTTGAGCATGCGTGGGAGGGTAGCACCATGATCTCCTTGCCGCTCCCTGGAATCCTGGCACTGACACAAGCGAGTGGTACCATTCGTCCTGGTCAGCCTGCTGTTGGGAGCAACTGCCACGGAGCAAAGGTCTGAAGTTTCTGAAGTATTTTGATATTTTCGCTATGAAGGTTGTCGATGTAGGCTGTTGTGTGGGCAGTGAAACAGTTTTGCTTTTGTTACTTGCCCGTCTAAGGTGATTCCCCCAAACCTTGGCCACTTAAACTAATTTAACTATTAAACTATGTGTTTGAAAAGTCATTGAAAGACCTTAGCAAAGGGTCACTTTCTGCAAGGCCACGAACCTCACCTCCATCTTGCCTCTCAGCATCGCCAGTGCGGCAGCCAGCGCGCTCGGTCGAGCAAGGGCCACGCGCGCCTCGCGGAAGGCGGAGATCAGTCGCAGGCGACACGATTCCGGTGGGACTGGCGCAAACGATGTGGGAAGAAGTTGATGAACTGTCAGCTGCTGTAGAAGCAGGAGGACACAAACTCAGGGAAGAATAACAAGACAGACGAGAGGGATTTTGATTGCACAACTTATCTCACCAACACCAGCAAGAGGAGTGAGGAGTGCCTGAAGCCCGATTTCAGGGGTACCACCACTGGGCAGTTACTTCTTGACAGCTCCACTGACTCAGGAAGCTGTCAATCAAGCTGTCACATCTACATGCTTGGCAACATTTCGTACAACAGCAACCATCAGTTCATCAAGTTCAGGTCCAATCATCCAATATGTTCAATCACTCAGCAACCATCTCACAATCGAAGGAAGAACTCTTGCAGGAAGGCACATGGCCAATCCCAGACAGTTACACAGTTACACACCCAAATCATGATTCCCGCCCTGGGAAGTACAGTCGGTTGTCATATCCTGGCCAATCTTTTTCAATCTCTTTCACATGATTCCACTTCCTTTCTTCTCACCCGCTTTTAGTTATGACTCATCCAAGTTGTTCTCCCCCTTCCCAGGCAAAAGCTCCTCACACTTGGGAACCTGGCACCTGTGGTGATGTCAAATCCTGCAGAGGCCAAGACGGCCTCTAGCGTGGCCTTGGATTGTTCTGGTCGGTTGTGCTATTTTCATAGGTTCGCCAAGGAAAAAGGACGGACAGAATAGGGTGGATGTTTCTGGAATGAGTTTCTGGCATCTTCCAAACAGGGGCCTTGTGACAAATCCCAAATCAAATCGTTAGTTGGGAGACATCCGATGTAGAACATCCTATGTTAGTTACGTTGGAGATCTCCTTGTTAGGAATCCATGTGCTCTGTCATGTTTTGGCTATTCTTGTTTGCTGTGATGTAAGGTGGGCTTAGGCACGTGTTGCCTCAAAGGCCAAGCCAGCGAGGACCAGGTCCGGGCTTCTGACGGGCTGGAAGGCGTGCTTCTGATTCAGATCTATTTAGAATTTAGAAGAGTTGTTACGGCCCACCTTGACTCGAGGTGTTTGATGTTTCTTTTTTTTGTGGTTTTAAGATATTTTAAGTTCATGAATGCACAGCACATTTCAATTCAGATGGTGTTAGTTTCTTTGGGAAAGGCCTCTTCATAGCCGCGGGGCCCTGAGGTCTATGAAGGTTTGAAGATTGGCTATCGCCTTTTGGACACTGCCAGCCATTATGAGACCAGACAGCACTTGGGAGTTAGTGAGTTGAGGCGCGAGGACGTGGGGACCGTGGGGTTGCTTGGGAGTTAGTCTCCTAACCGCTAAGTGCTTATCCCAGAAGATCATTGAGAAACGGTTTGGCATGAATGGGTGGCAGGTCTTAGTCCATTTTTTGGCCTAGCCAGGGGGCCTTTGCATTTTGTATGCATTTTGCATGTATGGGCTCGCTGTTTGCTGTTTGCTGAACGACTGTGTGTGTGGGTGTGTCGCTGTTCGCTTCGCTGCTTCTCTTCGATCTGAGGAGAACGAAGGCAACATTGCTGATGCGATCCGCAGGTCTGGCATCCCCAGGGAAGATGTCTTCTTGATCACAAAGATTTGGTTCGATGACATGGGGGAGACCTTGGAGAGAAAAAACGTGCTAGACAACCACTTTGGTTCGGATGTAATGTCAACCCCGGATTAATCAACCGGCCCCCCCCCACATAGAAGGTCAACAAGGTCCAGAAGGTCTGAGGTTACCATTAATGAGGTCCACTCCCCCTGAATAATATGCTATGAGGCCATTAGACCATGAAGGTTGATACCTAGGGTTTTGAGAAGGGATGAACTGATGAGCATGATTGGATAGAGATGAGCAGCATGATGATGGTAGTTGCACCATGATCAATAAATCCCCTTAGTTGATCTAAATATTAAAACCAAATAGTTCTATTTTCTGGGTTGTTTGGCTCGATTTAATTTGGGGGGGGTTCTAGATGACAAGTACACTATTAGGGGTGGAATTTAGCTCCAATACTACTTTCAATTTGGATGAATTTGCGAGGCTGTGTGGGCTCGGTTTAACTAGGGAGGGTTTATTGATCCTACCTCTACATTATTGACTCTGGGTTCCACGACTGCTGTGCGATCAACTCGCCTGAGATTCGACGTTCGTCAAGGAACATTTATCATGTAGGAAGCATGTGAGACAAACATATTGCAGAGGAATGCGGTGACTTTGTGGATGTGTTGTAAATGCAATTTTTTTTGTGGTCACATGATTCGGAGAAAAAAAAGAAGTGCCCGGCTGGGTGACAAAGACCATCTGAACTTATAGCATTGCCTTTGGGATCTTTGGGCTGTTTTGAGGTTAGCTATGAAGAACCTTTGTCGCGGAGCATCCCATGTGTTCGTCTTGGACGGGTCGGTTCGTCTCGTCTCGTCGATCACAACCCATCGGGGCTCTCAGGAACGAGCCGCGCCGGCGTTCCAGGAGTCCCTGACTCTCGGAGAAAGAGTGTGGAGATTAGTTCCACCAAGTGTAAGTGGCCATATCTGGCCATACTGGTGTACACCGGAGATAAAACCCGTGTTTTGTTTGAATGTTTTCCGGCAGACACCTTCCGAGGAAACGCCTCCAGACCGACTACGTGGACCTACTCTTGATTCACTTCCCTGGCACCAACGACGCTGTCCAGAGCCCTGCGGCCAATGCCAAGCGGAGGGCAGAGACCTGGCGGGTGCTGGAGGAGGCGAAAGCGGCCCAGCAGGCGCCGTTTGAGGCAAAACTGCGTGCTTTGGGGTCAACAGTCAACATTCGATCCTGGGAGGCTTTGCCCTCCTAAGACTTAATTAAGTTAGGGGAGAAGTTCGCTCCTGGTCCTAGCCACTAGACGCTGCATATGGACGCAGGATAGCTCACGCTTCTTCAAGGAAGCTCCCCCCGCCTGAGGGCATAGAATTTTTGGGGAAATTTGACCCTTAGACGCTACGAGAGTACTAGAGTATGTTTTTACCCACACCTGTGACGGTTGTGCCCTCAATGTGGTGCAAAAGGAACTCACTCCAATCGAGTCGAATCATTGGCGGACAGATATCCCAGCCTTTGGACTTTGGTCGCCGATATGGGGACTAAGTGTGTGAACTGCACCCAACAGATCATTGCAGCAATGGATGAAGCGGGAACCAACGGAGAAGAGAACACACCTGTGATGTTGCCTCGGCCAGGGGCTTGCTTGAGCGTCTTAGGGCGTACATGATGTACCTCCAAGATCCGACATTCTGAAACCAGTTCATTGGACCATATTGGACATGTGTTTTCCATGTTGTTTTTGGTTTGCGTTTGGCACACCGCCCTTGCGCCTGTCACGTATTTTGTTGTTCAGCGGTTGAGGGCCGGGTGATGACGTGCTTGTTGCGATGTGAGAATGCAGTACCTCACTGTGTGCATTCCTTTGCGTATATAAGTATTATATACGGACGTGCTTCCGTGCTTCTTTCAATTCGTTTGTTACTATGCATTCGCACGCATTTGCAGTGCCACACACCTCATCTCGTTTTTGCATGAAGCACTTGTTCCGATGTACTTGCATCTCGCACACATCTACCTGAGACGGCGTGTTTCCACCTTTTTTTTACATGAAGGCCCGAAAAGTAGCGACCGCGTGTGTGTGTGTGTGTGTGTGTCTTAGTGTGGTTGTTTCCCTTTGTGTGTCTTGTCCTCCTTTAGTTTGTTTACAACCATTGTGCGGGATGAAGGCGTTTCTTTAGATCAATATCCATATTATTTGACTTGGGATTGCGGTGACGGATAGAACACTTTCCGCGGGATTTTTTAAGTGCAATAAACTTGCGTGTGAGTTGCAAATTGTTGCAAATTAAGAACTACTGTAACAATATGTAACAATTATATATCTATATATATATAATGAAAGTCTCGATGTTGTAGAACAACAGCAAGCGAAGTCTGCGTCCACACCTTTTCTACAGGGGTCGTAGTCTAGCTATGCTCAAGGGCCCTCGTGGCCGCGAAAGGGACGTGGAAAATGATCAACCTGTCATGAAATGACGAGTATGCATGGATGCATTCGCAAACATTCAGATGGGCAAAGAGTCTTAAATTCAATGCCACATGGAAAACATTCAAAAGTAGGCACTCTTTCGTGCCGGCCCGAGCTTCTGCCTTCCTTTTTCACACGCGACTCTCATACATGCTAGTGAACCTCCAAGCCCCGTCCACAGCACTCGCCAGCATGGCGTTCTCTTCGAAATCGAAAGTGAGTCGCGTTTGCTGTTGCCGATCACATAGTTCACCATTTTCAAACTTTCGCTTCTCCTTTTCATGGCGGTCTTCGCCTGCATTCTGGTTCACAAGCTGCTTGTTCAGCTCCTCTAAAGCTTTCTCCTTCTTTCTCACTCCGACATGGATGTCGACGATCAAGTCGAAATGAGCATTCAGGAAGCGGTGCCACTGACAAATCTCGGCATCACTGTAGCCGAAACTGTTGTCTTTCAAGCTCAGCTTCAGGAACTCTTGCTGCCGGACTTCTGGTCGGCAGTGCCAAATCACATGGCCTCTCATGTGGGCGGTGACCATGGCTGAATTCAAAGTCTCAAGCGTTCTACACCAGGCTTCTTGACCTTCCTCTTGGCAAACCATTTCATAGAGGCGGCTCCACCTCTCTTGTTCTTCCATTTCTTGTTCCACCGTGTAGCCTTCGGGCTCGACAGCGTCGTTCAACTCAACAACTGGGTCATTCGCCGTGTCGACATGGCTTCCACCACCATGGCTCAAACCTACGGATGGCGTGGCCAGGTACACAGACACACGGTCATAGGCAATGACCAGGGCATTCTTCACCTTGCAGACGGCTTCATAGATCACATCTTTTAGCAGCCAAGAAGAGCCAAGCATTCCGACCATGGCAAAAAAGACGAGCACCAGCATAGTGTTTGTCCAGGGTCGTTCACCTTCGCTCAAATTCGCTTCGGCAGCTTCAGCACCAATGCTTTCCATTGCCAGGACGGACATGGCACACTTGGCAGCCTTCTGCCATTCATCTCCTTTTCGTCCTTGTCGGAATTGGTGCAAGTAGAAGTGCCTCCGACTGCAGTACCTGTGCTTTTCATCTCCATGTTTCTCCTTCGTGCACCCAGGGAGCAGACAAAGGCCTTTGGCTTTCTTCTCACTCTCATTCTCGACCATGAACACCTGTCCATCAAAGAGCTCTTCAGCGGCCTGCTCAAACTCTCTTGTTTCCCGGTCTCGGTCTTCCGCACTCACTTTCTTGGCGGCCACAAAGTGAGGGTCGTATCGAAGAGCATGAACACCACGGGAGAGGGTATGAGCCAGTGCATCTTTCGCTGAAGGTTTCGTCAGCCCGTCCGCGAGCTGCTGCATGGAGTTGACCCATTTGAACTCACCTTTTGCAGCCTTCAACCGCTCACGTAGGATGCTTATTTCGATGGCAGTGCGACGTTCTGAGAGTTTGAGTCCAGGTGTCACTGACAATGCACTGTCGTAGAGAGCTTTGGCATCCGTGATGACGGGAGATTCCTGAAACACATGCATCGTCTGGTCTTCCTGGATGGGGATGAAAGGGTTCAACATTGCTGCAAAGAACACTTTTGCCCACTCCAGCTCGTCAATGGCGATGGTCGCCGACTGGGCTTCAGCGCTCAAAGAACTTCTGCACATGCGGACCAGTTTCTTACTCGACCAATCGATCACTGTCAACGGAAAAGGGTGTTCTCCACTGACCTCATCGGCATTGGCCAAAAACATCAGCATGCCACCTTGCGAGCTTCCATCAGGTCGAACCGACCAAGCGGCATCGCAGTAGACACCGATTCGCAGGGCCTCCAATGGTCCATGACAGCGGATCGTGAACACATAGCCTTTCACTACTTCTTTGAGGAACCTCAAACACTTGTTGGCCTCAAGCATGTCCTTTACGGTCGGCTTGTTGATGCTCGCTTGCAAGATGCTTATTGTTGCAGAGGCCTGAGGCAAGCACTGGGTTGCGGGCCAAGACATTGCCCCCACCAGTGCACGAAGCATTCTGTGCTCTTTCTCGTTGCACTAGTCATCGACCATCGTCTTTCGACTTTTCTCAAGGCTCAGGGGCTTGATCTTGTTGACGTACTCCTGCAAGGAAACTGTGATCGTAGATCTGTCCCCGCTTTGAGCCACGTCAGCTCCACAGAACCTCATTTTCTCGCCGAAGTCCCAAGCTCCAAATCGAAAGCGCCTCGACAAAAGGCTCACTCGCTGGCAGAAAACTTCGCAAGCACCAGCGTAGTCCTCTTGGATCTCATTCAAACTTTCCACTCCTTCTCCAGCTCCAAGAAAATCGTCCACATGAAGTCCCAACACTCCGTCGACGATCCACCAGGAGCCATTCTTCTCGAAGGTCAGGAATGAGTCGTCCTCTGCTGTGGCCTGTCGAGTTGACAGATAGAGGCATCGATCCAGCGGATGGTTCACCAAGCCAAGCTCATTGATCAGATAGTCATTCGCTGTCTCGTTCCACTGCCTTGGAGCTCTGACGTCACCAAAAGCTGGCTTGGTCGCTTTCAAGATCTCGTGCTCCTTTAGTCCCATCAGGCGTTCCAGTCGTCTTCTCATCTCAGCAGGGGGACGAACATAGATCCTTGTGGAGTCATCGATGGAGTTCGACTGCATGAAAGCGGACTTCACGTCAGCGCACCAGAGTTTCCAAGATCGATGTGCTGCCCAAACCATGATTGTGATTCTCCCAAGCCGACTCAACGTGGGTGACTCTTTCACCAAATTCTCATTGAGCACGTCCTTGTGGCGGAATCCTTGGAGGATCACCCGGGCATTTGCTTTTCTGCCTTCACTGGTCGGTTTCCACCGTTGGAGGAACCTTGCCGGCACCACTTCTCCTTCGCCGGCCTCGCTCTCAGGGACCGCCTTCCAAGCGGAATTTTCAATCCAAACCATGAGAGCAGCATCCTTGGCCGTGTCGAACTGCTTCTTCTCATCAGGGGTGAGCTTACTCTCCTTGAACGTCTCAGCCATGAACAGCTCATCGTCCGCCATGGGTTCCATGTTGTCGAGGAACCTCTGGAAAGAAGGGTCGTCCTGTTGAACTGGAGGCAGTCCATCGAGCTGTCGGGAAGAGTTGTATGATGCGAAAGCAATCGACCTTTCATCTCGGGTCATCGGACTTCTAGATCTTCCTCTCTGAGGTTCAAGGGGTCGATCATCGTGCTCTTCCGACAACTTCTCGGCTTTGGTTGGTCGTTCATCCCCTTCTGTGGTATGCATTCTCTTAGCTCCTCCGCCTTGAGTCACTTCTGGTTCCGGCTTGGTTTGTGCTGTGGCTTCTGCAGCGGCGTGTGGTTCGTTAGCAACCTGCGTCTGCTGTGGTTCTGCTTGTGGCTGCTGAGGTTGTGTTTCCGCTTCAGCTGTGCCGGAGCCTGCTTGGCGTTCTTCTTGCTCTTTCATTTGGCCAAGCTCATCGGACTTTTCATTCTCATTTTCTTGGGAGTCCGGGCCTTCATCATCAAGAGGATTGGATCCTGATGCGTCAGCAAAAGGAGGGTCCCCTGAGAGGTCAAGAAAACGGATAGGGCCCCGGACAGGCTGGAGGGCTTTCCTGACAGTGGACTCGACATCTCGCACCCGTGCAGTCTGTGGATGATGCTCCAATCTGGCTTGGCGTTCACGAGGTGCTTCGGCACGGATATGCTCTGGGGCAACACGCACCAGGGCAGCGCCATGAGCCAACCAGTAGGTAGAAGGTGCAGGACCTGCATCGGATTGCTCACGGGGTGTCATCGAGCACACTAATGCTGGTCCACGCCAGCGGCTGATGTCCAGCTTGGAATCGCTGGATTGCCAGTAGTAGACCCATTCGCCGGGGTAGAACTGCTGATTGTCTGGTCGACTCTTGCTGAGCAACGCAGTGCGCAAAGTCTGGCTGTGGTTGGCCGTGTAGAAGGCCTTGGCTGCATTCAACCTGAGGGCTTGGAGTGCCTGATGATCGTTGGACGGATCAGCCTGGTGCCTCAAAGGTTCGTCCATCAGTCCAGTACTTTGTGCTGTTCGACCAAAGACGATCTGTGCTGGTGAGGTGCCATGTATTGAACGGAGTTGGTTGCGAAGAGAGCAGGCAACCGGAACTGCGGTTTCCAAGGAGATTGCAGGTTGTTCTTGCTTCATTTTCAGAAGTTGCAGTCTTCTTACTGCATGCAATCTCTCCACAACTCCCATTCTGTGATGGGCTTCCTTGAATACCAACACCAGCTTGATGCCTCGATCATCCATATAGTTCTGGAATTGTTCACTCATATGAGCTCCAGAGGCATATCTCATACCTGGAGAACAGGTCGATGATGGCCAGAACTCTTCGTTTGTCATCATTCCAGCGAATATGAAAGATGTCCATCTCCAACATTTCGTTGAAACACTGAGTCTGAGGTAAGGATGCAGGCTTGGACAGCTTCTTGTCCGTGTAGCTTTGGCAAGTGTCACATCGGTATGTCTTTGCACATTTGATCACCTCTTCATTGAAGCCTGCGTCCTTGGCTGCAGCTGCAAGACGATCACGTCCTGGATGACCCAGTTGGCGATGTAGCTTTTCCACAATGGCCAATGCCTTCTTTGAGTGCGTGCTTGACTTCTCAATCTCCTCATTGGTGATTTCTTTCTCCTCGTGGATTCCTGTCGCTTCTTCTTCTTCTGCAACCATGACTTCCATGGCCATAATCTTGGCTATTTCTTTCTTTCGCCACACTTCATCCATGCTCTCATAGATGGCTCGAGCTGCCTTTCTCACAAACGCGGGCTCGTAGTTCTGCATGTCTTGTAGAGCTTTTGTCTTCCCTTCCATAGGAACATGGGCTCGGTCACATAGGCACTGAAGATGTAGTGCTTCTGCCACTTGCCTCGAGCTGGTTCGAATCCGGGTCTGCTTTCTCACCGGGCCTTGGATCTTGTGGTCCTTGTAGAACAAACCAGTGCGGCATCGATCACAAGTAGCTTCATAGTAGCCCGTCATGGATTCCATAGTCCCAGTCTTCCAAGATTCTGCATGACTGGGATGTTCAAAGGCATGCTTGTTCTCTTCCTCCTTGGTGACTTGGGCTGTGTTCTTCACCATTTCGAGGTGAGATTCTTCTTCTCTCTCACGATCTTCTTGTAGGCGTTGAGCTTGAACATCAGTTCTCCGATTCAGTCGCTGGATGGCTGACCATTTGCGACAAGGTGGTGCCAGCCAAACAAACTCTGGACTGACTGTTCGGAGAAGATCGATGAACTCCTGTCTTACCTCCTTCTTCATGAAGTCCCACTCTGGCAGTGAAAAGCTTGACACTTCGACGTCCGCGTACTCCTTGGCAAGGAAAGCTGACAGATTGCCATGGTCCACATAGACCTCAAAGAACTTCAGCTTTCTTTCCTTCTTGATTCTCTCCAGCATGGCTTCAGCGGTGTCCTTTGCCTCAAAAGCTTCTTCTTTCATTTCTTCCATCATGCCATTGGTGACTTCCATCTCCATTGTGGGTTCAATGTCCCAGGCTTCATGCAGTGGACTTGACAATCCATTGGCACTTTCATCCTCCTCCTCGGACTGGTAGAAGTTCTCGTCCTTCTGAGGATACATCATCAAGTTCAGGAGGAAATGGCCACGAGCGTGGCGCTCAGGCTGAAACCAGTCCGATGTGCCAATCTTCATCGTTCCATTCCTATAGTCATGGACCACGCCCCATTCCTCCAGTGTGGGACGGGCAAGAAGGAATGGTGTTGAACCTGGAACCACGGAGGCAACCACTGGAAGGATTTGTCCGTGGATCACTGCGGTGAAGGAAACCTCATAGGATGACTGAAGTGTCTCACCTCCACCAAACTTGAACTGACGGGTCACCTGTCTGGACACCACAGGATCAGTCTGATCCGAGCCATACTTTTCAAGCCACAAGTGCCAATTCTCTTCACCGACGATCGTTCTGGTTGCTCCACTGTCAACGATGGCTTTTCCAGCTTCCGTTGTTGCAAAGAAACATTGCTCACCTTCGGGTTCTCTCAAAGAACAGTCGAGCTCCACCTTCTCCATGTTCTCCTCGACCATAGTGATTTCCTCGGGCACTTCCTTGATGCCGGAAGCTTGACTTCGATACCTCTTGAAACGAGGTCCGTGCTGAGCGGTTGATCCGCTCAAAGTAGACTTGTCAGTGGTGCTTCCTGTCGAAGAGGGAGAAAATGGAGTCTTCCGAAGTCCAGACATAGGTCGCCGATTGAAGGGCGTCCTCCTCATGAAGCTGTTGCCACCCTTTCCTTTGCTCTTTCCTTTGCCCTTGCCACCACCAAACTTTCCTTTTCCTTTCCCACCTTTGCCTTCTCCTTTTGGACTTCTGTAGGTGGTGTTCTTCTCCACTTCAGGGCCGAGGGCCACGACGGGATAGAATCCTCGAGAGAGAGCCAACTCCTTCATCCTCTTCCTGCTCTCGACATATGACACAAATGCTTCATCAGCTTGGTCCATAGCTTCTTCAAGCTCTTCTGGGATGTCATACTCCTCGTCGTATTCATCGGCTCCAAAGGCTTCTTCATCATACCACTCATCCCATTCTTCGGCAATGGCGGCTTCTTCAAACCACTCTTCATCGTCCTCCTCGTAGTAGGTCTCCTCTTTGGCACCTGAAGAAACCATGCGGCCCAGATCGCGAGCACTAGGCTTATGATCTCCACCAAACATGCGAATGAGGGCCTTTCCAACCTTGTCATAGTCCAGGTCGCCACCGCACATCGACTTGATCTGCACGTGCGTCCACCGGGGTACACCTGCCCTCGTCATGAGGTGCCACCCGGAGAGGAGTGGAGGAACTTCCACATTGACCTCTTTCATTCTCTTCAAGAGCGTCTTATGGCGTATCAAGTACGCCTGCAACTCTTCTCCTTTCCCTCGCTGGAACTCGCTGAAGAACTCATCACACCTCGAGGGCACTTCAATCAAGTCTTCATACTGGTAGAGTTCGTCGAGCAGCTTGAACATGCTTGAACACCAGCTTGAAGGGATCACTTGATCGCTCAACTTCATCGAAGTTCAACTGTTCCGTGGCATCCCATGCCACGTCTCTCAACTTGCTAATCACCAGGAAGGTCCCCTCCACGGCTGTCTCTCGACCTCGGCGTCCACATTGACGTTGGAACAACTCAAGCCTTCTTCGATAGCTCCGGTAGGTCTTTTGCGACAAGCCTTCTGAACTTGGGCATGCTTTTGCCAAACCTGAATCTAAACCTCCACGAGATGGTCCAGGATTGAAGGGCATTTGCAAGCCATCATCACCTTCTCGTTCTGGATTGGTGAAGAGACCTCCTCGGGCAGCAGTTGGCATCGTCAGGGGTGGTCCTTGCTGCTCGGGAGCGGCTGTCCTGGCTCTTCGAACGGGAGTCCGTCTCGGACTTCCTCTGTCCATGCCAGACATAGGCGAAGATCTTATCTTCGTCCGTCAGCAGGAAACCGAAGGGCTCTGCAAGGATGTAGGTCACCAAAGACGAACTTTACCTGGAGCGTCTTGAGCTCCGCTACCAATCTCGATGTTGTAGAACAACAGCAAGCGAAGTCTGCGTCCACACCTTTTCTACAGGGGTCGTAGTCTAGCTATGCTCAAGGGCCCTCGTGGCCGCGAAAGGGACGTGGAAAATGATCAACCTGTCATGAAATGACGTGTATGCATGGATGCATTCGCAAACATTCAGAGAAAGAACTCTTCGCTGAACTTCTGGATGACTGCAGATCACTGATCATGAGACCTTCAAAAACACTTGTCCAACATATTCCAAACCTTTTTCCCACACTTCTAACAAAAAGGAACATGTCGCTGTAGCGAAACACAACACAAGCCATTTCCCTCGGCAAAACGTGGGAAACGTGGGAACTTTGATGCAACTGGAAAGGCACTTCAAAGACAAACCTACAGTGAATACCAATAAAACATCCAAAAAGACACGCAAACAACCAAAAAAGAAACAAGCAGTTGCAGGGCGGCGCATCAGCCCGCGGCCTTGTTTTTACCTTGGAGTATTGGAATGACTATGGTTGCGTTTTGGTTGGTCGCTTCTCCTGGCCCATCGACCACAGGCTAGGTCCATTGGGGTGGCGAACTTCACGCGTAGGCATTTGACGCTTGGAACGTTTGGCACTGCACTGTTTAAACAGCCCATGTTTTCCCAACAAACAATAATGCGTTTATGGCCTTTCTGGATTTGATCCACTCCAGTGCCATGTTAAACATAACGCATGCAAACATGATTAAACATGTAACTGGAGGGGGTTAGATGATAGGTCTTGGAAAGCTTCTGCAGGGGTGCATCCTTGTGCCAATTTGCAGCTCTAGGCAAGCACACAATGCGTTTGTACTATATAATTATTGCCATCCAGTGCAATGCCGTCAGTGAAATTCAGCCACGGAGGAAACAACTTCTGGCCACCTGCAAAGAGTCGCCAGAGGTGATGCAAACTGAAGTTCATCCATACTTCCAGCAACCTGAGCTTTTGGAGTTGTGCCGCCAGAAGAATCTGAAGATCCAAGCGTTTTCCCCTTTGGCACATGGTGAGTTAGGACTGCCAAGTGCGCAGAAAACATGTGCATCAAGTGGGTGACCCAAGGGAGGGTGATGTGCAACGACCGATCGCCTCCAGGACTTCTCAACGACCGCCTTCTGACGGGCATCGCTGCGAAGTACCAGCGAAGTGTGGCGCAGGTGGTGTTGCAATGGCTGCTTCAACAGGACATTACCCCAATCGCGTTCAGCGGGTCTTGAGCTCAGTTTTGTCCTTCAAGTTTGTCTCGGGTACTGACGATCTTAGCCTTAGTCAGGCGTTCCAAGTAGAGTTCCTCAGTCAAACGCAGAAGAGTCAACGCCCACATAAACCCACTTTGAGCAGGGTCATGAGTCGTGAGGGGGGCATAGCTCAAGGCAATTGGTCACAAACCAGCGAAGTCAGAACACAAGAAAGATTTGCAGAGTTTGGACGAAACCAGAGACTTGCAAGGTCTCCAAAGAACATGATGGAGAACTTCGCTGTCAAAGATTTCTCATTGACTTCTCAAGAGATGGACCGGATAAGTTTTCTGGACCGTGGTCCCAACGCAAGGGTCGGCTTTGACCCAAATCTCATTGCTTAAATACTTAATATATTGTAATATTTATTACTGTAGATAAAGTACAATGTTTGAACATTTACCAGCGCAGTAGACCCAACAATTTAAAGCATTCAGGGGGTGTGTCGGACGACATTGCGTTTGCTTGCTTTTCTCTGCACGATGGCACTGTCGTTCATCTCCGATCCTTCAATAGAAAAGAATATGAAACAACCATGTGAGGCAAGTGGAAAAATAAACAACTTTCTCCACCCTTCCTTGATAACCAGGCACCTTGTTATAACGATTGTTGATTGCAATAAGAACTGTGTTAAACAAAAACCGAAATCAATTATACATAAAACAACATAAATGAATTATTACAAAAGCCGGCCGCGGCCTAGGCTGAAATTAGTTTATGCGAACGATTGCGAACTAAATTAAATTTGTTTGGAAAGGATATGGGGAGATAAACGGAAAATAATGGATTTAAATAACGTTATTTTATTGATATTTGCGAATTATTAAAACAAATTAAATTGACGTGGAGTCTGAAAAACAGAGATGAAGAAAGAAACAATTACGGTCGCTATCCAATTGTTCAAGTGAAAGAAAAGGTAGGTGTTAAATAGGCCTACGGATGTTTTTCCGATATGTAATGGTCTATTTGATCTTCGGAGGTAATGATTCATCGAGAGGAAGGACAGGAAGGAAATTATGTAATTTTATATCCGATTTTTCTCCTGGATGGGATATATTTCTATTTCTTTTAGAGGTAAAACAACGAACACATTGGATAATTGATAATAGTGTTAAATATTACGAGGTTTATGGATTGTATAGAAATTTTATCGATTATGTGGATTAATATCGTTGAAATATTAAGAAATTTTGAAAGAATTTAATGGGGAGGTCTTAAGGTATTTTAAGTAGTGAAGAGCAATTTGTAGTTATATAGGTTATTTAAAATATTTTATAGTTATGTTTTTTTTAAAGATTATATTAGTATGCTATGAGAAATTGTCGATATTTTGTTTTTATATAATCTAATCTCTATTTTCTATTTTATAATATATATAATGGATATATATTATAAAATTAGAGGATAGATTATTTATTATGATTTTATTATTTGAAAATATTGATTTTTTTAATGGAATTATTTAGATTATGTTATAAATAAATCTATCTATAAAATGGAAAATCGCGGACTAAATAAATATTTATGGGATATGATTGTATAAGGTTTAGTAGATTTTGTGTAGAGGTGGTTAATTAATATATAGAATCGGAATAGAAAATGGAATTTATATAATGAAATTATTGTTTTGGCGAAATTAATATTATTAAAATTATTATATATATATATATTAATGAAGGTAATAATATTATTGAATTTATTTGTTTTTAATATGTAATGATATTTTTAAATTTATAGTTTTGACGATGAGACTATCGCGTATAGGCATTTTTTGTCCAAGTAAAAGGTGCGAATTTTGTTCGAGGGTTATGAGCCCAAAACGTGGCCCTCGCTAGGTGCGACCCTGCGGTTTAGGCTATGAATCGTGATTGGGCTAGGTCACTACTGCCATTGGAGGCGAATCTATGGTGATCGGACAAGCTGAAGGCGGAGTTTTAGCTGAGACACTAGCGGCCTGAGGATCTCCCTGTTCTTTATGATGGGGATGGCGATCTCGAGGAGCTTGAACTGATGCCGGTGGAAGGCGTTGGTGGGTTGCGCTCGGGTAAGGTGAATTATCTTAAAGTTCTGGAGGGCGGATGTTTGTCATTTTACTGAGCGGTCGTGCCAAGGTCGCGGGTCCGTTAAGGGGAAGAAATCGGAGGGAATGATGTCCACCATTGGAAGCTCTAAGGTTGATCTCACGGCATCTATGGGGCCCCTACCTCCAGAACATCGCCCACCTAGAAGGGATGAAGCAGCCGATAACCTGCAAAAGGCCCTAGAAGCGGAGATGATGATCTTTTTAGTTATTGGCTGAGGGAGCAAAATGCTTAGTTGTTGGCAGAAATTGAAACCCTGAAGCAGCAGCAACAACAGCCTCAGGGTCGTGGCCCGACCTCTACCCCCTCGTCATGGGAGCAGGTGGACAGCAAGGACGGTTAGTCAGCTGCAGTGTCGGTAAAGGGGGTGGTCATGTGCAACTGTAGTCGAGTGCAGCTCCTCGCACACCTAGGGGGAGAAGTCCGACAGCTCGTACCAAGGTGACCGTGCCTCGGCTGATTAGATACACCCCCATTGGGACACAGGTGTCACCGGATTCGCTACCTGCCACTGAGCATTTGGAGCTTTCGTTTCCTCCGTTTCCGGCGGCTAGCCACTCGGCTGAAATTAGTTTGGATGGCTATGAGTTCATGGCTGGTCGAGCCCCTCATGGTGATTTACGTTGGGTCCCGCTGGATCAGCGCGAGGGCAAGTCTTTCTTGCCGTGCAGGGCTCCTGATCGAGCACATAAAGATCGGGCTTCGCAGTTGGAGCGTGAAATTGAAGAGCTCCGGAACTCCGTGGCCTACATGAAGGAGCAGGTTCCTGGTTTGGCCACTTCTTGTTCGCATGAGGTTCCACCACCACCGGTGGGGCCTAGTGGATGTGGTTTTTCGGAACTCCAAGGTCATGATTTTCGGGGAGTTGTTCGTGATCGTGGAGGGGGTTTGGATGGTGGTCATGATCATCATGGACATGGTAACGTATGCCATCAAGGTCCAGGCTGTGTATCCCAAGGTCCAGGCTGTGTATCCCAAGGTGATGGTTGGCAGCCGAAGCAGATGAATGGATTGCGAGAAGAAACCAACTATGGGCGCTGGCGCGCTGATGGTGGCTCCTCCATGGTAGCTCCACAGCCGTGGAGTGAGGGTAGCGGCAGCAAGGCCGACCTGCCGATCTTGGCGAATGATGCATCGCCGTTGGAGCTTGGCGACTGGCTTGCGGTCTGCGGGCCAGTCCTCCGAGATCTGTCAGCGGTCCCGGCTCGGTGGTGGAATTTGACGTTGCGGGAAGCTCAATGCTATTATGACCGCTGGAAGTTGGCATCCCCACTGGATCGGGTTCAGTTGGACCCGAAATTGCCGGATGAGCTCTTCGACCTCCAGTACCAAAGAACAGAGCAGCGAGGTGTGAACCTTTTGCTCAAAGCCATCCCGGCGGATCAGCAGCAGGCACTGATCACGGCCCGTGAACTCAATTCCACGGCTTTGCTGTTCAGGTTGCTGGTGCGCTATCAACCTGGTGGCGCAGGGGAGAAGTCGATCCTCCTCGCAAAGCTCACGGCCCTGGACAAGGCAGCTGGAGTGTCAGAGCTGGCCTCAGTGTTGCGCTCGTGGCGACGGCATTTCTCAAGGGCTCAGGAGATTGGGGCGGTCTTGCCCGATGGCACGCTTCTCCTCAAGGCTTTGGAACCAGCGGTCACACAGATCGCAAGTCTGGACGCTCAAGCTGCTTTCCGTTTGGCTCAGAGCCGTTTGCAGTTGGGCGTGGATCAGCAACCACATCACAGTGGAGTCTGGCGGTTCAGTCAGTGTTTGTTGGCTGAAGTCGAAACTTTGTCCTTGCTGAGTTCAACGCCACCTTCGACCTCAACCCCGGTGCGTGTGAAACAACTCGAAGCTCCGGGCAAAGTGACAAGTGGGGGTCAGTCTGGCTCTCAAGACAAGGGCAAGGGCACGTCTACAGCTGCCCTTCCATGTCGCTATTTCCGCTCCGACACTGGCTGCAAGGCTGGAAAACAATGCAAGTGGTCGCATGCCTGGGATGGTATTGAAGACAAGGCCCAGCGGTGTTGGATTTGCGGAGGAAAAGATCATCGAAAGTCTGAGTGCAAGTTGAAAGCACAGGTCAAGTCCTCGTCGATCAAAGCAGGCAAGGGCGCTGGTGAGCCGGGTTCCGGCTCAGGGGGAGGGAAGTCTCAATCCTCTTCCAATGGGGCCTACAATGCTGCTGCTGGATCGCAGTCAGGTGGCACAACTTTGCAAGGAGCCGCTACCGCAAAGCTGCAAGAGATGGAGGTCCAGCAGGATGGCAATAGCGTCGCTGGTACGGGCGATGGTCAATCGGGGGAGACGACAATGGTGAAAGGGGGTGCGGACACAGGGGCAACAACCAGTGAAGCATTGCTCCATGAAGCCACACAACTCCTCAAGTCCCTTCGTGCTCCTCAATTGCGTGTGATAAAGGTGAGTCAGCTTGACTATGACACCAGCGGGTCTGCAGTGCTTTTGGACTCGGGTGCAACTCATGCACTTCGCCCAGCAGTTGACCTATGTGAATGGGAGGCTGCACAACCTACACAGGTCACCCTGGCTGAAGGAGTCTCCAATAAGCTCCGTTTGAAGCAGGATTCAAAAGTGCTTCTCTCTGCCCCGCATGACACAGAACTGGACAAGTCATGGATTGTTCCCCTGGGCGGCATTGCGGAGCTGGGCTATCGTTTTGAGTGGAAGGGTTCCTATTGTTTGTTGAAAGATGATCGTGGCAACAAGTTGGAGGTGACAATACAACATGGTTGCCCTATGGTCAACAAGGAGCTGGGACGGCAGATGATTGATAGGCTGGAGCGACGTCAGGTGCATTTGGCGCAGAAAGCTTTGCTCATCAAGACATTGTTTGCACAGCCGTCAATGGTCCCTATGGCTCCACCCTTGTCAACAGAAATGGCCCTTACACTCAAGCTGAAACATTTGTTTCAGGATGTGCCGGACGACCTCTTGATGAAGGTGTTCCCAGATCTCTCGGATCTCCAGCAGGTAGCGGATGGGTCACTGCTCCCTTGGAACCGGCGGAAAAGAAGACGCCTTGCCCAGGCGAAGCAGATCGTGATCCACCTGTTCTCTGGTCCTGATGCCAGATACTGGGAGAAAGCACTTCAACAGAATGGAGTAGAAGTCTTTTGTGTGGATCTACAAGCAGCAGTTGCAGCCGATTTGCATGATGACAACGTCTATCGGTTTTTGCTGGCCCTCGCTGCAACAGGCCGTGTCAAGGCCATTGTGGGCGGACCGCCCTGCCGCACCGTGTCGGCTTTGCGGTATCA